AATTTTTAACATGGAAAGTCAATGGGAGCGTCTTTATTCCTCTATAACTTTTATCTTTAGTAAGATATATAGGTGAAAAGTTAATATAATATACAACTTTTGATGCTCTTTCCACTGATGCATAGGACGTCACTGCACGATGTGCCGTTTTTAAGAAAAGCTGTAAAAAATCAGGGCTCGACTGTGACTTGAACCCAACCACATTAGAGTATACGAACAGGTGACGGGGATACCTCCCGTGTGCGGATGCGACACTGATTATTGCTAAATATTAGCATTCGGCCGCCTTGGGGGCGCCTTGCAAAGCTTCTATCTCCACAACTACTTGACCAATTCACTCGCGGTCTTTTGTGTGGGATAGCTTCTTCCTTTCTTACACGTAGTGTGCTATTCTCGATGCGTATGGGTGACCCCTAATGCACGTGCCACGTGCAAAACGATGAGAAGTCAGTTCAGTAACAAGTCTAATAACTCTGTAGTTAGTTTGCCGATTGCGCTGGTACTTTGCATGGATGTTGGCACGCACCCGGCAATGCATTTCCATATGTCACGGTTGGGGTGCCGCTGCACGTGCGCACGGGCAGGGTGACGCTTCCAGATCTCGAGAACGGCTGGGCCGATTGTGATCAAACTTGGCACACCGCTAGAGGCTGGTTAGTAGGGTGCCGTGCACAAGTCAGATGGGACCCGTTATGCACCTGCGCACGTGCAGGCTGACGCTTCCAGATCTCAAGAACGGCTGGGCCGACTGTGCTCAAAATTGGCATACCGCTAGAGACTGGTTAGTAGTGTGCCGTGCACAAGTCAGTTAGTATGTATTTTCATGTGCCACGGTTGGGGTGCAGCTGCACGTGCGCACGGGTAGGGGTCGTTTCCCGATCTTGGAAACGGCTGGGCCGATTCAGATTAAATTCGGTACACCGCTAGAGACCGGCGAAAAGGGTGCCGTGCAAAAGTCAATTGGGACCCAGCTTGCACGTGCGCACGTGCAGGGTGCCGCTTCGAGATCTCGAAAACGGCCGGGCCGATTGCACTCAAATTTGGCAAACCGCTAGAGACCGGTTAGTAGAGTGCAGTGCACGTCAGTTCGTGACATACCCGCTCCGGGCTGCACGTGCAAGGCTCATCCTCTCGTTTGGCGGCGGGCGTTTTTGCGGCGTTACAGAGGTGCTTGCTCAAACAACCTGCGGTCCCGCGATGCGGAGCCCAGCATCGCAGATGCTGGTAGGTAGGTAGGTAGGTAGGTCTAGGTACCACATAACTTGAAATTACTTGACGTAATGACATGATGTGGAAAGTGAAAATGATACCTAGGTATTGATGGAAATTTATGGACTTAGGTACGCTACAAGAAGATTGAATTGGTCAACCAATTCAAATTCAATCTACTTGTGGAGTAAGTCTATACAGATAAGTCTATGTAGATTTTCATCAATAGTTACCACTTACCATTGAAGTTACTTGATATCATGTTGATTTTATACATAAGAACCTCATTCATTTTATTTGTATGACATGTTTGAATGCAATTTTCTCAATAAGTGAAGAAAAATGTTGGTAGTGCTCAACAACACATTGGTAGTGCTCAGCTGAACATTGGTAGTGCTCGGGCACTCCCAGGCCTATACAAAACGACGCCCCTGCTTACCTACAACCTAACCTACAGCGCCTCTCTTCGTTCGTTCATGGTTGCAAAAAAAAAAAACAAGTGTGACGCCTGCTATACTACTACCCTTATATGGCCTTGGTTTGAGTGTGGTGACCGAGTAAGCTGGTGTGTATAGCCATGCAATACCTAAGTGTTTTGAAATATATTTTTGGGACAGTATTGAAATGGTGTGTTTTGGCCATCTGGCATGGATGATGGAAAGCCACGAACTCAACTTCAGGAACGCTTCTTCATTATGCTCATCTAAGGCACAATCATCTATTTTCTCTTCGCAAGGATTGATTACTAATTCACTGTCAATTATAACCTGGTCCAGAAGGTTTCGCTGGGCCACACGGTTCATACAGATTCATCCGCAGTGCTCAGCAGTGCATGTTTTCAGATTTCAACAGACTGTAATTGTTTCTGTATGTACATATGCATCATGCAAGGGTACAACAGATGCGGTATTTGGTAAGCAGTTGGCAGCAAGGTGGTGTTTGTACTTATTGGCAGAACCAGTTGAGCAGGACTAAAACTATCCTAGTTTCTCTCCAATTTACTCAGATCCGTCTCAACACATTGAACATATTGAAAGCGTCCATCCATGAAGATGTCTGCATGTATACTCATTTCCGAGAAGGCACGCTCGTCGCTCATCCATTGCCGAGCAGGCACGTGCGTGCCCATCGCCGGCGCGCATTAGCGCGCGTCCATGGCTGGGGCGCACGCGCGCGGCCATGGCCGGCATGCACGCGCGCGCGCCCATCGTCGGCACGCAAGCGCGCGCGCGTCCATAGCCGGCGCGCGCGCCGCGTCCTTACCCGGCGAGAACGCCGCGTCCGTACCCGGCGCGCACCCGCGCGCGTCCACAGCCGGCACTGACAGACCCTGACCGACGGGCGTGCTGCCGTCGGCGGTCCTGACAGATAGGCGGCGGGCCCGGCTCCCGCAGCTCCGGCAGCGGGCGGCAGCCATGGTCGGCATACACGCGCGCGCGCCCATCGTCGGTACGCAAGCGCGCGCGCGCCCATCGTCGGCACGCAAGCGCGCGCGCGTCCATAGCCGGCGCGCACCCGCGCGCGTCCATAGCCGGCGCGCACCCGTACCTGGCGCGCACCCGCGCGCGTCCGTACCCGGCCCGCACCCGCGCGCGTCCACTGCCGGCACTGACAGACCCTGACAGACGGGCGTGCTGCCGTCGGCGGTCCTGACAGATGGGCGGCGGGCCCGGCTCCCGCAGCTCCGGCAGCGGGCGGCAGCTCCGGTGACTGTTCCGGCAGCTCCGGCAGCGAGCGGCGTCTCCGGCAGCGCTCAGCAGCGGCGCCAAGCAGCAGCAGCGGCTGAGCCAACAGGCGGCCGCGGAGGCACGCCCCCCGCCCCCCCCCCCCCTTGCACATTGTTCGTCCATGGAGATGTCTGCAAGCACGACCATTGTTGAGAAGGCACGTGCATCCATGGCTGAGCACTGAGCAGGCACGTGCGACCCCTTTGCACATTGTTCATCCATACATATCAATATAATTTACCTTATTGATTAGTGTGAGTCTTGCAAAATCTTAAACTCAGAAATACTACACAAGGCAGGCTGCCTGGGTGAGTTGCTAATATGAACATAATGAACATTATACATTAGTGCAGTACCTATAAGTATCCATGCTGTGTGAAGGACTTGGCCCTCACGTTCATTCGTTTGGTGATTGCACATGGTGGCATGTGTACCAATTGTTCTCCCTAACCCTTCTTACAACTTTGACTAGCAAGTAGAAGCTGGCAAAATGCAAGGAGCTTACAAAGTATGCTTATATGTAGATAACTGAGGATGATTCTCTCAATTGAAGCATGATCCACACTCATCAGCTTCTTCTGTTCTGTTCCACAAACTAAAACTGAAATGACTCAATTTTCCTCAAAATATATTCATTTATCACTCATAAACAACAAAAATATAGATTAAGTAGGTACCAGGGCAATAAAAAACATAAAAGTTACATATTTTTTCATGTACAGTCCTTTCACAGCAACAATATGTAGAAACGCACCAAGACGTTCACGGAGAGCCCACCCATAACAAACTATAGTCAGCATATATAGCAGCAGGGGTGACGTACAGGGCACAGAGGTCATGTCACATCATGTTGTACAACCTGTTGTTCGAAAAAACAGATCAACATTGATTTTGAAAAACTGTAGCGCTTTCTTCAGACTTCAGTCACTTAGGTAAGCTTTCTCGCAAGACGTTACATTAGATTCACCACTCTTGACAAAATAATCAGATTGAAACTTAGCTCTTGTGCCTGATGCACTTACATTTCAATTTATTGAAATAAAACACTCAAATTTACCCTTGAAAATTGTTGACATTTAAATGATATTAACATCAAGATTTTGATGATCAGCAAACAAGCTATTCAAATCACACCCATATAATAACTTTGGCAATGTTGATAACTCTTGCTGTCTTATTGAAAAGCAAATCTTCAATTTGTTCATATCCAAATCCAATGCCAAGCACTGAAATCTTGTTGCAAGGCCCTAAAAACAACAGACAAAAACAAAACAGTATTGTGGAAAGCGCCAGTGCGGTGCGGCGGCCTTGGCGAAATTTCCCAAGGCTGCTCTTTGTTTACATTTTAGCGATGGGCCAACTTGGCCGCCCAAGTACTTGTTTTGCGTGAGTAAGTACAATTTTGTCAATTTTGAAACGGCTATATCTCGCAAATTTTGGTACCGATTTACATTTTATGCATATCTTTAGAATCGGCAGAGTCTGGGGAGTTCATTGATTGGAAATTTATGCCGATTCCTTTCAATTTTTAAACCCTGATAATCCCTTTAATGTTGAATGCAAGTAAATGTTCAGAACACCAACCACTCTTTGATTCATTATTTATTTCTCACTTTCACGCCCGGTTTATTCATACCCGAACAAACGCCCGTTACAAACCGGTGGGACGCCTGCTAGTTAGACTAGCCCGCAAGGCAGACGTGCCGTGCGGGCTAGTCTAACTGTCAGGTGTTTCGAGGCGTGCCGTGCGGGCTAGTCTAACTGTCAGGTATTTCGCCAGCCCGCGCTCGGTGACTGAGAAAGGGAAACTATTTTTGGCCGACGACAAAGGCAGAAACAATTAATTTTACGGTTAGAGCTTTGATCAATCATCCTCAGCAGAATTCACCATTCACCACGATAGATAAATTGCATTTAGGTAGGTACTGCGCTTGCCACTCAAACAAATCGTTCCAAGCCCCAGGGCATCCCAGGCCCGAATCGTAAAAGCTTCTTTGTCTTTGCTTTTTATAACATGAGTCTAAATAATTTGATCTGAGATAACTGCGTCTGCACCTTTTCCAGTGCACTACCTGGAGGTAGAGCTGCAGCTTTCTGAGGAACAGCAGGACGGCATGGGAAATCTGGTGTTTGTTATCGAGACAAACACCACAGCTTCAGAACGGCTGCTCGGATGGAGGTGAGGCATCTGTTCAAAGAAGCTTCTGACAAAGAGCGCGACTCAAAAATGTCCTGCACTAATGCATCGTTTCCATAAATCGGCCTTGTTCTAATCGCTTTTTCGTGGCGGCTGAAGTTGAGCCCTAATCATCTGTTGCAGTCATCACCGCACCGTTATATTTTTCAAGTTGAATTTGTTACGTGCTTCAATTGGCAAATGAATATATATTTGAAAAATACATTTATTTTTAACTGTTGATTTCTTTTCTTCCGCAGTTCTGGCACAAGTTGGTCGTCAGGAACCCAGCTTCGGACCACCGTGCACTCGCCCATTGACCCCGCCCAGATGACCTCGCTCAAGGTCACACTGCACGGCCAGGGGGCGGCCGTCAGCCCGCCCCTGCTGCCCCGGGCGGTCAAGGTCACCCGGTTCGACAGTCAGCTGACGCTGACGTCACAGGATCTGTGCACGGATACGGAGACGCTGCAGGATAAGGAAACCATGGTGTTCAGACCGTGCCAGGACTGATTTAACTAAAACTTGCCGCGCGGCGCGCCAGGACTTGCCGTTTGAGATGCGAGGCCTGTGAATAAAAAAGTTTTTTTTTGAAAATAGGTAGGTATGAATGAGAAAATGATTAACGCAATGGGTAGGCATGCCAAATAGCGCCGAGGGTCGAAACACGATCGTACCTCGCTTTCTCCCGAGGAAACGTAAGCTAGGGGAGAGTGGGGTAATTTGGCCGGTGGTGTAAATTGGCCGCCCCCACCTGTACGATGTCTAATAAAAGTGAGTGAAATAACTCTAGTCTCTATTCATTTGTCATGGGTAGAAATAACTGGAGGACAAATGTCAAAACTTTGCCCCTCGTAGTTTTATTTAAAATTAATAAAACGTTAATTTCATTAGAAAATGGTAACTTTTACTTCTGTTTACAAAGTTGTATAACATGTAGTATTTGGGCTAAAAACGAATTCAGACATTATAGCGCCATTCTTGGGGGTGTTCAGCGGTTCCAAGAGCAATTTCATCTAATTCCGTATAGCCGTGATGACTTTATACACAAGAAAATTCAGAATGGCAATATATGGGGTAATTTGGCCGGGACTAGCGGGGCAACTTGGCCGGTGCGCTCATGGTCACTATGCTGGGACGGCCGAGTTTTCATGGTCAATTGTACCATAAATGACATAATTCATGACCAACTTTGACTACTTTGATGCCTTACTTCCGATTGGTCAACTGTAAGAGCATGTGACGTCATCAAAGGTTACCAAACGTTTTTTGCTAATAAATCCTTACATAAAAATGGTACAGCCGCACAAATGGTCTCATTCTGTTCACCTCGCCAAGGCGCATCGAATGATATGCATGATGACCTTGAAATCACGTGACCTTGAGGTCAAGCGACCTGAGGTAACGTGACCTGAGGTCAACCTTTGACCTTGACTTCTCGAGGTCAACACATATATGTTTTGATGCGGAATGACGAGAGAATTACGATGGTACTCGAAGTTTTGGCCTAGCTTGATTACTTCAAAAGTTATTCGTAAAAAAACTGTCTTCGCATCTAGAGCCGCTAATTTGGCTATTTTGACCCCTGTGACCCCATGAGTCAACCTCCAAAATGCGGCAAATGCGTCATAGGACACACGTCATTGCTGAATCTGAAGCTGACTCGCAATATAACAGAAAATCCTGACCGCAAACTAACACCGGCCAAATTGCCCCACACCCCCGGCCAAATAACCCTGCTAGTGGGGCAATTTGGCCGCCTTGCAGACCTTTGTAATACGTCACAATTTCAATATAAGTAATTACTCTATCATTTCAAGTTCACTGTTCAGTAAAGTAAAATGAATGCAACACCTGGCAGCGTTGAGAAAATGCAGAAATGTGTCGTCAATTTAAAGTTACATCGTTTTCTAAAAAAAGCGGCCAAATTACCCCACTCTCCCCTACACGAAGCATAACAATAAAGACGTAAATTTAAACATATCAAAAATTACTCAACTGATATCCGCAATACCAAGCTCATCTCCACCTAGATCATGTCGCCAGTTTTATCTTCTCCCAGCTGCCCCACCTAATATCGTCAGGGTCACGCCCTCCCCCGGCGTGGGAACGGTCCTGCTGTCTATCAGAAGTCGGTCCGCGGGAGGTCACCGTTCGGCAGTGGTGCCTCAGAGGTCAGCCAGGAGGGTCTCTCGTTGGAGGTGGTCTGTAGGAGGTCGGTAGTGGTCCTCGGAGGTCAGACGCGAGGATTGGTGAGGAGGGACAGAGCAGAGGATGAGGATGTTGGTGCCGGTGGTGACGGCGCTGCTGGTCGGAGTGGTGCACACAGGTGGGTGGAATGGTGCTGGAATGGCGGAATGGTAGATGGAATGGTGTAATGATGGGCCGGCGGGTGGGCAGGAGCGGTGGGTGAAATGTTATGAAAGGTGGAATGATTGTGGAATAATGGTGGAATGGTGGGAGGAATTTTAGAATGGCAGAACGATGGATGGACGAATATGTGGACACGCTGGTGGACTAATGAATTAATGGGTAGTTCATATGTAAATTATGTCCTTATGTAGGTATACCTAAAGACCAAAACCACTCCGATAGGTATCAATGTCATGACCTTTTCAACATACCACTGACCTCCACCGCCACATCAGCTGACGTGTGCTACGATGACGTGGGCTGTTTTACCACCGACTACCCGTGGAGTGACGTCAGAAGACCGTTCCCGAACCTTCCCCAGCCACCCGAGGAGATACCCACCAACTTCTACCTCTACACTCGGTAATAATTCAGCGAGCTCATGATAAGCTAGTCAGCTCCAGCATTGACCTAGGGGGAAGCGGAAGGTCAATTATTTTTTCTAGCAGCATCGAATGTTCAGTGTTGCATTTTTCGTCGGGGATATTAGGGTGGAAGTGATGACCTTAGGTCAAGTTGAGGTCAAATCCGCTTAGGTCAGACGGTTGCCCTCAAGTCAATTAAGTTAAAATGCGAACTGGTTAGGTCGTTGGGATGCTGGTCGTTGGGTGGACGAAACATATGCGTCAAATCCCCTATACGCCCCCTCCTTCACTATATATACCCCTCCCCCCCGCCCCCTATAGGACGGTTCCCGAGAAGACGGCCATTCACTACAACAGTACGGAGCTGGGTGACTTTTCTGCACAGCGGGAGAGGACAGTGGTGATCTGTCACGGGTTCACCGACAGCGGAGCCTCGGGGTGGATGAACCGCGTCAAGGACCTACTCCTGGAACAGGTCAGACAAAGTTCTATAGCCTTGGGTCAGACGGACGCCTATCTATCTGCGGGAGGGGGAGGGGCAACTATTTCGTAGATTTATTTATTACACACGAGACCTGCTGCCGTAGCGACTAAATTATCAGCTGGAAAAGTATAGAGGTTCACTAATGTCGGTTCAGATCACATAAAAAGACAAAGTATACCGTGTATCTCTACTTGTGCAATCCATCCGATGTTAGGCCTTATTCCCCGAGTGCCGATCGATAAGTAGACATTTGATATGGTTTGTTTGTCAGTAATGAGTAAAATACACCCTTTGATACGCTGGTTCAAGGAATGTTGGAAAAACTGTCTGGCAGTCAGGGGCAGTAAACTGCAACCATTCAACACAGTCCTCCTTTGCAGTACGACTTCAACGTCATTCTCGTCGACTGGGAGGCAGGCGCACGGACCCCGTATCTGCAGGCCACCGCCAACGCTCAGCTAGTCGGCCGCCAGATCGCGCTACTGGTCCACACTCTGACCGATGTAGGTGGCGCTAGCGTCGCCAATATCCACCTGATGGCCCATAGCCTGGGCTGTCATGTCATCGGCTATGCCGGCGCTCGGATTCCAGGCCTGGCCAGAATCACAGGTGAGACAGATAAACTCTGTCATGCGATGACAAGATGAGGTTGACTTTCGCGCTTCATTGTTTTGCTCACACTAGCATCGGTACGACCGAGGTCAAATGGTGCACAATCACATAGGCGGCCCGCGGCGGAACGGGGAGGGCACCGGGTCACCGTGCCCCCCTTTGATTTTGGCATTTTAACATTAGCCCTATGGGCGTTACATGGAAAGAATGGGACCAAAAGTCGGCAGCGCCCCCCTTAATTGAGGGTGTTCCGCCGCTACTGATGGTGCATTGATAAGATTTCCCGACTTTGACTCACCTTTTCTGATATGTCCGACCGTCTGGTTCCGTAGTAAGAGCTTCAGTTTGCAATCATCTCGGAAAGCAAACAGCGTCTCGGTCTTATGGCCACAAAGACACAGCAATTGAACTCGAAACTAGATAAATCACGGTTGCGCAAACGTGAAAATCCAACATTTCAATTTGTTAAATTTGCTGTTCGTCGCTCATATTGGAATCCGAAGACGAGACGTTCACTTGCTATCGCTCACCGTCAACCACTTTGCTTCACAAATCTGAGTCCCTGACAGCACTAAAACACCCATCACATCACCGTTCACCGTCCCTCACACCTATTTTATCACCAATCATCCCCGGAGGCCCTGGGGGGCACTGTCTCGACCCGTGCGCTCTCTGCAACTGCCACCAGCTGACGCGTCGCGCCCGTCGGTCACCTGACGATATCGCCTGAGGCATGAAACCGACCGCGCAGGCGGGATGAAGAAAAACGCCTCGGGGCAATTAGGAAATACGAGATGTAGTGGTTCATATTTCAGACTTGGGGTTAAAAGAAAATTAGGTATGCTTCACATATGTTCTTACGGTTTTAGTTTTTACGTTAACCTGCCTGGCAATGAAAGGCTTTATAATTATCTACCTACCCAATTACCCAAGCTGTGACCGCGTTTTTACTCCGCCACGGCAGGACTAGACCCGGCCCAGCCGTATTTTGAAGAGACCCAGCCAGAGGTTCATCTGGACGCCACTGATGCCGAGTTTGTCGACATCATTCACACCGACGGACGAGACATCATCTACATCGGTATCGGCTTTATGGCGGTGAGTAGATGTTAACAGTTTACTTAATTTTACCCGAGTGTAAACGGCTCGCAGACACCAAAGTTTCAATTGATGCAGGTTTAGGTAAAGGTTGCCTGTGCCACTTTGAGCTCGGCTATATAATTTATCACACCGTACCATTACAATTTACCGATGAAGCGCACTTCATCTTTTTCAGTCATGTGGAGACGTTGATTTTTATCCCAACAACGGTAAAAACCAGCCGGGCTGCGGCGACTTCCAGGAGAATATTCGGGCTCTCATCTACGATCTGGAGACGCTCAACATCGACGGTAAATGAACCTAACCATTTATGTAACAATCACTTTCATGCGTGTGCTTTTGTGAGGATTTATCAGTAAAAACATAGCTACAGTACACACAGTCGATTTCATGGGCTAGCTATCTGCTCAAACCGTACCAAAATTTAGTCGATAAATCGATTACAACGGAAGCTTTCTAGATGGCAGTTTTCGGTCACGTTGTTGAAATGTTCATCGTTGTCCCTTCTCTCCCTTCGCCAGCCATCAAGGGTCTGTTCGGCTGCCCTCACGATCGTGCTCACGAGCTCTTCATCGCCACCCTCACGGAGCAGGAGTGTCCGTTCGTGAGTTTTCCGTGCAAGGACTACGCCGAGTACGAGTCGGGAGAGTGTCAGCGGCTGGACCGAGCCACCATCGGACGAATGGGGATGGACGCCGAGAAATACAACCTCAGCGGGAACTATTATCTGCAGACGACCAGCGACAAGAGCTCCTTCTGCAGTAAGTGAATGGTCACGGATCATTGGTCAACGACGCGGGATGAAATCAAAACTCAAAAGGCGATATAATTAGTCGCATTAATCGGATATCAAATGTCACTAGAGACGGATATTTGTTTACGATTGCGAACTGCGATGACATGAGGCAATTTGATAAATTCCAGTGCACTACCTGGAGGTAGAGCTGCAGCTTTCTAAGGACCAGCAGGACGGTATGGGAAATCTGGTGTTTGTTATCGAGACAAACACCACAGCTTCAGAACGGCTGCCAGGATGGAGGTGAGATATAAATAGATAATTGTTATAACAATTCTAAAAGAATCCGCTGTCATCCTCTTATCCCTTTATAATAAAACATGGTCAAATTTTACATAATTGTTCCCTTACTAACATTTATGCACAAACCGTGTGTTGCCAGATAAAGTGACGCATCACCATGGCCTTGTATAATTATTCGTTAACAACCCTCCCTCCTCTTCCTCGCAGTTCTGGCACAAGTTGGTCGTCAGGAACCCAGCTTCGGACCACCGTGCACTCGCCCATTGACCCCGCCCAGATGACCTCGCTCAAGGTCACACTGCACGGCCAGGGGGCGGCCGTCAGCCCGCCCCTGCTGCCCCGGGCGGTCAAGGTCACCCGGGTCGACAGTCAGCTGACTCTGACGTCACAGGATCTGTGCACGGAGACGGAGACACTGCAGGATAAGGAAACCATGGTGCTCAGACCGTGTGGGGAAGAGAACGCATGAAACCATTTCGCGAAGGCATCTGGAAAGGCGAAGTGAACAGTGTGGAACAACGATAACATCTACGTTTGTTGAAATCTGGAAGGGAATATTATGGTTAATCAATCAAGACGATCAGTTCCAATGCAGCTACTTGGCCTTGGGGCGCACTTTGATCTGGTAAAATAAACAGACCAACACAATGACTCTTTGAGCGATTGGTGTATGTGCTGCTGTAGGTATTTAACATGTGGTTCTTTGCTCTGCTCTCGGTAGGTTATCGGCAATGAGAAAAAATACAGTTTTCGTAAAGTTACACACATTTTATTTTGAACCGTGACTTCATCTGTAAATAGTTACTTTATCACAAAATAGGCCATAATCAGGCAATATGGTAATGCGAATACAAATATGCGCTCAGCGCTGCTGCTACAGTTAGCGCTCGCCAACTTCAAACCCAATCTCTCTTCGAAACAAAGCGCACTTCTCGCAGGACCGCTCACAACCTGAACACGGGCTGCCGATTACGTCACGTGCTAGATCACACATTGCATCGCTATGTCACGTGACAGCTCACGCATTGCATCGCTAAGTCACGTGGCAAACCTCACACTGCGCCACTCACCAGCTAGCAAGCTGAAAGCCACGCCCCTCTCCCACCCTTGCACTTACCAGATTTCAGCTCTCAGCTTGACCGACTGCTTCTTTTCAAAGTGCAAAAGTCAAAACAACCCTGTAACTCCTTATTCACCTGTGTAATTTGGCACGCGCTTCTCCTTAAACGCAGTGAGGCCCTCGATACGATCCTTGGTAGGTATGACCTGCGCGTAACACGCCTCTTCGACAGCCAGTCCCGATGCCAAATCCATCTGCATCCCCAGATTCACCGCCTTCTTCACCATTCGCACACCAACCGGGCCATTCGGGAGGATCCTCTCAGCGATTTGAACGGCTTTCTGATACGCAGCGTCACCGGCGTCTGTTTGAGGTACAGCGCGATCCACAAGACCAATCCGCGCAGCTTGGTTTCCATCCAAAACAGCAGCCGTGAACATGAGTTCTTTGGCGCGCGCGGGGCCGACTAGACGGGGGAGGCGCTGGGTGCCACCCGCGCCAGGGATGATTGCCAGCTTGGTCTCCACGAGGCCGAGCTTTGCCGAGCTGGACGCCACGCGGAGGTCACACGCGAGCGCCATCTCGAGACCTCCTCCGAGCGCAGCGCCGTCCAGGGCGGCGATCACCGGCATCGGCAGATTCTCCAGCTCCGACATAAGAGCGCGCGCGCGGGAAACAAACGGCGCCACCTCTTCCGGGCGCATTTTGGCGCGCTCTTTGAGGTCCGCCCCGGCACAGAAAGCTCCCGGAACCAGGCTGCGGATGATGACGGCTCGCACTGTGCGGTCAAAGCGCACACTGCTCACAGCCTCTGTCATGGCGGCCAAAAGGCCGCGGCTGATGGCGTTTTTGGCGGCGGGTCGGTTCATAGAGATGGCCACGATGCCGGCCCGCTCGCCGAGCAGGTAGTCGACGCTTAGCTCCGTGGAGGCTACTGAAGAGGAGGCACAGCGGAGGCCGGTGGCCAGCCGCGCAGCCGGCGCGCAGCAGCGCACGTGTAGCAGTGGCCGCAGCAGCATGTCGGCCGATGGATCTGGGATAGAATGTAAGAAGTTAATTCAAGTATCCTATCCACGATGTTTTGAGAATCTATCGCTCTCTTCAAAGAGCAAGAGTGAGCTGGAGCAGGAGTATGAGAGACTGAGAAGGAGGGAAGGTGAGGGAGAGGAAAAGGAACACAATTATGTCAAAACAATCACGTGACGATTATCAATACAAATAATGCCCGCCCCACGCACACCACATGCCAGTCAACACTTATGAAATTGAAATTAACATGGAAGTATAACCGACAGGTGACATCAAAACACACTAATCTGAAATGAAAACAGTTACAAGACACTGGCCAATTTAAGGGATTAAGCTAGGCTACATCAAAGACGCAGAACTCACAATGGGTGTAATTTGGTCATTAACAATAATCGGAAGGGAAAAACTTCATTTTATTTTTGAAAAAATTGTTTATTTTAATAGCAAATAATACAAATCAAAAAGAAATCTTGAAGCCTTTCAAACCTAGTTGGAGCCTAACCAAACCTTAGTTTTTGGCCAGTACCTAGTGGTGGCGCCCTGTAGCGCCCAATCAATACCATGTCAGGATTTCTCTAAAAGAAATGCCAATGGAGTAAAAAGAAGCTAACTGCTAATCCTGCTTACATTTTGACAAACACAAAAACAGTCTCACCTGCCCTAAATAGATAAAATACGATGAAAACAAATTACCTACCCCAGTTCCTCGCCTACTCACAAGGAATCAAGACAGTAGTTCGTAACAGACGCGCAATATCTGTCAGCAACTGACCAGCTATTATACTGCTAAAATTTTTCACTAATGTATTTCACAGCAGTCACACCGAATCACCGACTAAAAGAAGGCAGTTTTCAAAAACCATCGTATATTAAGTCTGAGGGACTACCGAATTTCAGCTTTAATATGTTTTTGAAAAATATGGCGCCTGTTAAACAAAACTCGTGAGCGTGTAAAGCCGTTTGAGAAATATTCCGTCTTCCCGGCACACGCTCATCACGCGTGAGACAAATTATTGCGGCATTTTCCAGGACTTATTTCGTGATAGGTGCCAAAAACAAATAAGCTAACTTTCCCGAATACAGTCAACCCTGGAGATAATCCACAGAGATCCGCTGTTCCTTCACATCCAAATCTGAAGTTGTATTTTGTAATTCGAAAGGACCGGCGACTTTTCGTTGTCGCGCTCGGCATACTCATGCCATTGCAGCCGTCTCACTACATAAAATAGGAATTAGGAATAAAGGATACAAAGAACAAAACTCTGCAACAACCCATTGTATTAATCGACAGATTGTAAAACCAAGGACTCCATGATCACATCAGTCCCAATTGCCCTTCAAGTTATTAGCCATAGGGAGACGAAGGCAGCACAGCGCTCAACTAGCGCGAGTACGAGTTACAATCGAATAGACAAGAAACAGCAGAAGACAGGTAAGTCGACGATGCGATAGAAGCAATGCAAGAAGTATGAACACGACCTAAGTGTTAATCTCGGGGCAATACACACGCAGGAAGCTTGTCCGACTCTCCAAATGAGACTGAATGATGATGATGAGACTGATCTCGCTATCAACAGCCTGGTGACGTCCATCACAGCAATTATCATTGGTGATGATGTTGATGACGGTGACGGCCGCGAATCTCACTGATGAAGATGATGACTGCTGATGTCGATGATTTATCCTAACCTAATGTATGGCTTGGCAGCGCTGAAAATGTAGCCTAACGCAACGAATCCGACCAAGTGGTTATTATGCCCCAACATATCCACCTTTCATTCGCACGGGATGGGTGCTTTCTGGTGCACGGAACTGGGTCCGCCCGTGTAACATCGCAACATTCTTAAACCGATTCTTTCACTAAACAATCATAACTCATGACAATGCACAGTGCACACCACACACAGATTCGCACTTCATTCTACCAGAAAAAAAAAATTGTCATGGTTCCGTTCAAGAAACCCAATTATTTTCGGCACGCGTCAAAGGAAATGTTCAAGTTACGAAAATGCGTTACTTTTTCTGAAAAAGATTTCGCAACATCGAAACTGAAATGATAAATTTAGCATTCGCCTGCATTTGTTCATTTTAGGAAGGGATGGAGCATTTCCTTTAAACCTCCTAGCACATTCACACCTAATCATCCACCCACCGATCCAGAACTCGCTATTACCTATTCCCTCCCTCACCCTCGCTATGGCTGGGCCACCCCTCCCCCTCTCAGGCCCGCGCGTTTAGTTCCTCCAACAGCCGCTTGGCGGCGCTGAGGTGCTGCGGCGCCGCGTCGTCGCCAGTCAGCTGGGTCTCGGAGATTCTCTGCGCGGCCACCAGGGCGTCGCTGGCAGCGGCTCGGCAGTGCGGTACCGCGGACGGGGCGGCGGCAGTGAGCGCGTGCAGTACGTAACCGGCAGTGACCACTTTGGACAGTTCCTGCGAAGGGGGAGGGTTACAGATAAGATAGAGCATTCACTGACACAGACTCGCTGAGCTGAGAAATAAGAAGTGAGCATCAACGAACAGCTGTGCGAACTGACCTGACGTTAATCCACTTTCCCTCTTTCCTATCCTGAGGAGCCAAATTCTTCTTCTCCACGGTTCTATCACCCTGATCCCCTCAGGACGGTCGATTTCATCTGGGTAAATCTTGAAGACCAGCTGACAGCCTGGAACCAACAATAAACCCAACTTTTCCCACCTTAACCCCCCCCCCCCCTCCCCTTCCAGCCAACTCCCACGCCCCCTCTCCCTAGTCCCTACCTGTTCCGCATCCTCCTCAGCGTTGCTCCCCTCCTCTGCCATCTCCTCCTCTCCTCTTTCCGTCTTCTCCCGGCCGGCGTTGACAAACTCTTCCACCGCTCCGGCCAGCAGCTGAGCGCCGGCCGCGTCCCTCCACAGGGGACTGAGCAGGGCCGATACCAGGGGGGAGAGATCGGGGGTCGGGGCCGAGGTGCTGCCCTGCGGAGGGAAGAGGGGGGGGGGGTCAGTCAGTGGACCTGGGAAGTGTGGTGGTTTTGTGTCATTGAAGGTGTGTTTAGGGAGCTGGTCAATATGGGCGAAGGGATTTCAGGAAAATAGGTTGTAAGTAACGATAGACGATCGCATCGTAGCGAACTGCATTGGCATATGTTCTATACATGCCCAATGAATTATGTAATGCAATCATAAAAACGTCATAAGCTGGCGGTTACTGGTTGACTTTGTTGAAGCAACCAAACGCATTATATTCAGCTATGCCCACCCCACGTTACCGCCAGAGCAGCTCCCTTTCCCCACCCACCTGCAGTTTATCGCTGGCGATCCTCCTCTGCGCAGCCACCATCAGCACGGCAGCCAGGTCGCGCTGAGGCCCCTCTCCATCCGCGCCCAGTAGTCTCCAGCCCGCCAGTACGCCCTTCAGGTGACTGCTGAGCTCCGTCAGCTGCGCAGGCTGCGGGGGCCACTCTGCAGAGGATAGTCTCAGCAGCTGCCCGATCGCCGCGCCGGTCAGTGGAGGGATCTCCTCTCGGCAGAGGGTGCGGAGCTCGTCGGCCTTCTCTGATCGACAGGCCACGGCCTCCAGGAGATCAGCGGAGTGGAAGAGCACTGTCAGACAGCGCTCGGGAGAGGCATCTGAGGCGGATAGGTGCAGGAGTAGCCACTGAAGGCCCGCCTCACACAGCTCCGGGGCGACACAGCCAGTTAGGGACACATTCACTGCGGCTTCTGAGAGTGCCTCACTGACGCTCCGCAGCAGGGCAGAGTTCACCCATCGCGCGGGGGCCTTCGCCACACCGCGGCCCCAGATGAGAAGTTCTCGGAGAGCGTTCGAGGGGTCGGCAGAGTCCGACCCCCCTCCGGCGGCTAGGGCGAGGCTGACCACTATCATCGCTCGCACCAGCTCATTAACTAGCTCATCCCGATCGGAGTGGGGCCGTTCGGAGCTCAGACGTTCCTCCGCGGCCGGCGGCACGGCAGAAGACATCCACGTCAGGAGCTCGCGCAGCGGTGCACCGTACTTCGTTGTCAGCACGTGCCGGCGCAGACTGGGCGAGAACAGATGCATCAGCCACCGCAGTGCCAGCCGGGGCCGGGGCTGGCCGCGGCGCGGGTCCCGGAACCTCACACCGCCCGCCGAGCGGCGCTGGTTCTTCTGCGACGCGACGAAACTTCTTTCCCCATCGAACGCCGCCTGAAGCCTCTCAGCACAGAGCTCAATCACATCATCACAACGTCCCCAGTTAATGAGCGGATCGAGCAGCATGGCGCACCTCTCCGCACTGGCATCTTCGGGGAGCTCTTTGAGCGCTGACAGACAATGACTCGCCAGAGGAGTCATCACAGCATGCGGCAGCAGCGATGCTACATACAGCAGCGATCCTGCCGCCGGCGCGTCGCGATGTTGGTTGAACAGCAGCGGCAAGACGCGTCCCCAGGCCTGCTGCAGGGTCTCCAGCAGGTCGGGTCGCTGCGCCAGCTCAGTGAGACGGCAGGTCCAGAGGACGGCGGTGACGTCGACCAGCCCTACCACGACCTCCTCCTTGTCCAGGGGGGAGCTGGGAGGGGGCGGAGCGGCCGGCTCCAGCGCCGAGTCGTCAGACGAACTGGCGCTCTCCTGACCTGTTGGGCAGATAGAACAGGGGGGGGGGGGAGGGACTTAGAGACGTTCTTCAATGATCGGTGAGAGGACTGGGATTGGTTTCAAGTTGAGACAAGAGGCGATGGACAACTGGGGTCAGACCGAGTGTCCTCAAGAAAACTGTGAAAATAAAATTAAGTAACCCGATCCCAACATCTCAGGATTTTCTTCGTCATTAAGCGAAATAGTAACTAGCAGCACTTAGCAGAAACAACAGAAACACACCGACCCAAGTCCCAAACATCCGTTGAGCCTAGTACAATACGAAAGTATAGCAGGCGAGCCCGGTACCTACTATATCATTGTCAGAACTCTAAACTGTATGTACTCAACTGTTTTGCGACTCACTTGCGTCGGAGAGCACCGAGCGATCGTCGACATTGTGTAACCGCCTCTTGCCCGGCCGGGAGCCTGAGAACACGACAACGCGGCGTCAGGCTGTGGTTGGAGGTGTGTCGATCGATCTCTTGTCCCTCGCACCATCAGAACATGGCGTTCTTATCGTCCTATCAAAGGACACCACATCGGGATAGCCACTTCTTCCAACATATCAGATGTCCGCCAGTTTTCACCCTATAAGAAAGTCCTACGTCTCCCATCCCGACTGCCCTCAGCACACTATAAAATTCAATATCACCCCTAGGCAAGACCATAATCGCCCTTCTTTCCTATTTCACTCCAGCCAATCCACCCATTCCTCACCCAGCTCTGCTCATGCATCCCTCCCGTTTAGTTCCCGCATAGCACCACGCGCCTCTAACGCGTCCTGACCCCGCCCTCTCGCCCCACCTACCTCCGGCCATGCTGTTCTCCTTATTACTCCCCGCTGCCGCCATGTGCCGCTGTCGGCTCGTCTCTCCGGCCGACGCCTGGCGCGCCTGCAGTTTACGCGCGTGAAGTGTCAACGCCTGGCGAATGGCGATCATCAGACGCACCGCGTCCTCCAGTGTGAGAACCTGCCGGAGGGGAAAGGTCACGGTCAGGTTATTGGTAACAGAAGACAATATGACTAGATGTCAGGCTTCACATATTCTCTGGCTTCAGTGAAGCTTGACATGGTAGATTCCCAGCTGGTTTATCATCTACCAGCCTACCCTCCCCCTACCGTCAAATATACATTCTACGAATGGTGGTAGAAGCGGCGGCTGCCCTCATCCCATCCCTCCCGTCACTTTTAATTCTACCTTCTCCGAGTGAATATGGTAGAACCGACAACTGGCCTACCGGTTCTATTATCCTACCCATCCCACTAGTTAACTCTACCTTCTCCGAATGATGGTAGAATCGGCGACTGGCCTCCCGATTCTCCTGGATCAGACAGATGCAGCGGCTCAAAAGAGTCTCGTCCGACTCGCCCGAAGGGAAGAAACTGTAACGGAGGGCGAAATGAGGGTCAGATATTGGTTCAGAAACATTCAGTAGACAGTCATCAGCCACTTAAAATTCGCACAAAGGGAGACATCTCTGGCATAACTCAACAACATCAAAAGACGACTTTAACAAAGAGAAATACACTGAAAAAATGATCGAGCTATTTGTTCTTTCATCTAACTAGACTGGGTCGACAAAACAACTCAAAGCCTAGGAGTCATAAGATGGAGAAATTTCCATCCAAATCACCCACTGGTCCTCACCTGTTGACCATCAGCTGCACGATTCGCCGGCAGACGGGCGGCTCGTCCATGGCCAGCCGCGCCAGCAGGTCCTTCACAGGAACAACGTCAAAGTAGCGAATGTTCTGGCAAAGAAGAGAGCGGAGTCATGGTCAACAAGTACAACCTTCGTGGTATTAAACAAAACAACAATTACCTTGACAGTTTCATCACGTCGCTTTCATCCAACGCATCGCATTATTCATTCATCACATTGATCTTCTGTGAACTCATCGCTTTTTCCATATTGTCCTCAAACACTCCGTCATTTCCATTTCCTGCCATCATTCTCCTTCCTCCTGCCTCCTACCATTCTTCGTTCTCCTACCATGATCCTCCCCTCACTTCATTTGTCCTCCCCTTCCATTCCGTTTGGCTCACCTTGATCTGTTTGACCTTGAGCAGCAGATCACATACAGCGACCCGTACAGACAGCTGCACATCGTGGAAGGCATCGGCCAGAAACGGCAGCGCAGACTTCATGTACGCGTGCGTGAACGGGTTGTCCAGAACCACGCTGATACCCTGCGAACGAGAGGGGAGCGGGGTTGGTTTGGGTTTGGTAGCGCGATACTGGAATCTCGAGTAAAACGGGTTCGTTCTTCGTATGAAGCGAAACTTCTAAAGAAAAAAAAAAGAAATCGCAAATCCAAGAGTGATTGGTTAACTTCTAAAAAACAAAACAAAACAACAACAACAGCAACAACAGTAAATAGAACGTCACGCTTTAACTTCAGGGAAATACAAACTCGGAGTCTATGCAGAATCGCGAGCGTACAGGTATTCGTCGCCGAACATAACCATGAATACTTATCCCGTGTTTTGGAATGATCAGATCAAGCTCTATAATCCATACAACTGTACCCAAGTGTGTAAGAAAGTTCCTACAACCTAGTTTATCAAGACCAGCCCTACGCTAAATCCACAGACTGGTCTCTCAACGGTACTGCACCCTCTAACTCACCGAGACGGCCTGCAGCCGCACTTCCACGGAGGCGGCGTCGTACGCCATGTCCTGTAGCAGCACCTTCATCATCTGCTTCAGACAGTCCTGCGGCATCATGTCCCAGAACTGCGACAGCGCCCGGCACACGCCCTGTGAAAACGTGAAGCAGGGAGAGAGTTAGGGAGGGAGGGAAGTTCCTGAGAGTGAAATGAAAGTTAGAGGGGAGTTATTAGGGGAGAAAGAAAGAGGAAACAGATAGAGAAAGAGAGTGCTAAAGTGAGGAGGGAGAGGGTCGGCTTATCGGCTACCGACTGGATGGAGAAGTAAAAATAAAAGAGGTAGTGAGGAGACGATGAAGCAGGAACTAGTAGGAGAAAATCATTGGAAAATAGGGTACAGCCGTCCAGCCTGCTAGCTCTGGTCGAAGAGCGCGAACAGATCACTGCAGAAGTCGGTCTCCCACAAGTCATCCCCTTCCCAATCCAAACCCTAAACATCCATATCACCAAACTACCAATTTCCTATACGTCAAGAAAGCAGCAGCCTCCCTGTCCCAGACTCTCTAACATACCTTGGCGGCGGCGGCGCGGACCAGATGTGACGCCTCCTGCAGCAGGTCAGCCAGCAGCCGGCTCTGTCGGGCCAGCTCGGCGTCCCGTGCCACGCGCGTCTCACTGGGGTCCTCCAGCGGAAACACGTCCAACAGGATAAACGTGGCGTTCAGCTGCACCGTCTCGTTCGGCACCTGGTGGGAGGGAGAGAGGGAGGTTAGAAATATGGCACATCAACAGGCAGATATCACATTATGGCGTATGAGAGCTTTGCCAAGATAATCACAAAAATGTCTTAGTCAGCCATCATACTCGAAGATGACAATCATTTGTTTTTCAGGTCGCCTATCTGGTGTCAAAAGCCAATGTCATCGGCGCTCATGATCAGATTTAGAGATTAAACCACAATAATACCTCCATGATAAAAAGTCCAGATGTCACTATTAGAGAAATGTAGTGGTTCTAGGGTGTCTTCCGACCTTGAATGATAATCCATATCTTCAGACCCCTTCCGCCACTTACCGTCAGCGCCCGCCACAGTATCGGCTGATAGAGCCTGACGAGCATCTCGGCCGTCTCTCGGTGTCTCCTCTGTCCGTGTATATGATGGAGCAGCTGGTAGAGCAGGCGGGCCAGTCGGCAGCCGGGAGCGCGCGACGCGTGCACAGCGTGGTACATGAAGTCCTGGATACAGTGCTCTTCCAGAGACTGAGAGGAGAGAGAGAAGAGCAAATCAGGACCCAAGTTCAGTCATAGTAGTCACACAAATAATTATATGACTTCTCTGCTGCTGTCTACTAAGTACTTATAACTATGAATGCTGGTAACTTAGCATGCCCTTGAATCTTCATAGCTGCAGCAAACCTTGCAAGTCGATTTAAAAATCATTGGTTTATGAATAGGATTTCAACGAAATAGTATGCAAACTGAGAGAAAGTGGAAAATAACCTCGACATATGTATCTTACACCAAAACTCAAACATCAGCACACTTACCCCTCCCCATCCCAATACCCTCCCCTCTCCCACGTCATTATCCCCGCTCCTTACCTCTCTGTCGGCCGTCTCGGCCATCCTCCACGCCCGGTAGTACGCCTGTCCATACTTCATCGCCTCCACCTTCGTCACCGACGGCAGCACCGCCTTGATGGCCGTGTGAGCCGGCGTCCTCAGAGCCGACATGCCCAGCACGCCGGCCACGAACCGCACTCCCTCGTCCCAGGCCAGGATTTGGGGACACTGCGCGGCGCCGCAGAGCAGCTGACGGAGCCGACCGGAGCCGGAGCCGGTCAGACCGCCGGTGGAGAGGCACGGCTGGAGGGAGCAGGCGCGCTGCACCAGCGGACGCTGTGGACGGAGGGGGAGGGTTAGGGTGAGATTATGTTACTTGTTTTGGTGCACCTATGAGCTCAGATTACTTCACTGATTGTTTATCACAGTTGCTAAAATTTACCTCAGGTAGAAAAGGTCCTGTCAAATCTGGTCCATGTATCTTTTTTTTTAATCCCAAAATTCACAATAGTCAAGGCAAAATTCACAAAGTTGCTATTGATAGGTAAATACTCAGCTATCATCAAAGTTCCTACATGCACATTGCACAACTAAACCAATCCCACTGCACTTTGAGACCGTGCCAAGTCCCAAATACTGCAGCCACCATTGTTGCGGTCTCCTGATCACCCACCGTAGTCTTGTGGTCCTTAGCGACCACCAGCTGCAGCAGATAGCTGAGTACGGGCGGCGCCAGGGAGTCGGCCTCGGGCAGCCGGCGGGACCACCACAGCTCCGAGAGGCGCGCGATACGGTCACAGAGGCCGTCCAGAGACGGCAGCTCGTCCAGGCTCAGCAGCATCGTGTTCACGATCGCTGTGGGGGAAATATGGTGTTATAACAGGAGTTTTTCACGATCGCTGAGGGAAATAGGTATCTTGGGCGTTACCAACAACATCACATTATTGGTCGTTGTGGGAAAAAATCATGGGATAAGACATGAGAATATGAGAAAACAAGCAGCCTCATGCTTACGCTTACTGCAGGACATCCAGAGAAATGTTCGAACGGTATAACTGAAATGACAGCCACGGGCAGGGCTGCGGAGTCGGAGTCGAGGTTGGAGTCGGCTGGAGTCGACAGTTCTGACCAGAGTCAGAGTCACTTTTGGAAACCGGAGGTCGGAGTCGCCGAAAATTCATCGACTCCGCAGCCCTGGCCACGGGAATGTATGAGGTGTTATAAATATAGTGTTCACGGCTGCCAGTGGCCGTCCACACTCACAAGCCGTCTGCAGCAGCCCGACGGGCACTGGCGCAGTGTCCTCTGCCTCCGACTGCAGGGTGGAGACCGTCGACAGAGCCGTATCCACAATGGCGGACACCAGAGCCGCCTTCTCCGGCTGGGAAAGAGAGCAGAGGTCTCGTGTTACACAGCATCGAGCGAGAAACTACAAGTTCAGAGTGCTCAACATTCTCTTAGTCCGACTGGTTTCAACTCGCTTATTAGCGACTTACAGTGTACACAGTAGGTAATTGAATCAATTTTTGCAGCTGGATCCGATCTGCATTCTTTGCGTTGCATTTATTCTCATCTAATATCAGCGGTCCTAAGCACAAATTTAGGCCATACATTCGATTGTATTCACAAAACTAATCAAAGCCTTGGTCCACAAATTTTCTCTGCAAATCTGATATCCTCAAAACTTTATCCATTCTTCATTCACCAAAATCTTCATGAATGGACCAGAAGTCCATCCTGTCAGCTGCATGACTGATGACTCCTACGGCTACGACATTATCACCCTTCATCCTCCACCCTCTTCCCTCTCACAAAATGTCACTGAAAGACCACAGAGATGTCACTCCCATGGCCCTGCCTCAGGCCACCTGCTTATCACCCTTGGATCATGTTGCCCACTTCTTGAAGTTCAGGGAATGAGGAGAACGACTCACATCTGCATCGTCCTCATTGTTCTCTGGGATCAACGACTCCAGGCCTGTGGTGATCCAGCTGAGCAGTGACTCCCAGAGTGAGTCCAGCTGAGCCCTGGGCAGCTCGGCCAGCACCTCGTCCAGGTTAAATGGATCCTTTCTGCTCCGCTGTTGAAAGAAGTCAGAGCATTAATTTTAGAACTCAAACTTACTTCAATCTATAATCCATGAAACAAAGAGTAGGTAGCCAACAGTCAACATGGGATAACAAACTAAAAACCTCATTGAACTGGCTGGTAACCATGGTCAGATCCTTGCTCTCAAAACTGCCAGGCCTGGCCACAGCCAACACTTTGATCAGGCATAAGTCATAACTCACATGATTGGCCAGAAGCTTGAGGAATCCCTCAGTATCATGGCTCGACACCACATCCACCAGAGCCTGGCGGCGCTGGGCAGCCATGCTCGGAGGCCGGAGGGTTAGAGCGATGTCTGAGTCGACTGATGAGAAACCAGCTGTAAGTAATAAATTATTCAAGGTGAAGCTCTAGAGCAGGACCTTTCTGAACCATCACACATTCACGAAAAAAAATGTTTTTTTTTTACATTTAAGTCCCTATCTAGGACGGTGTGAGACCATGGGACATTCATCGGAATGCCACTGGGTACTGGCACCTGCACGGACAGCCTCGGCCAGGGGCCTTGGTGCTTGAAAGTAGACATGAATCTTTAAATGACAAACAATGAATGAATGGCAAATTACAAAATAACGACCCTAACAACTCAAAAATTCCACGACGCAGTACTGACCCCTCACACTTGCCTCACACCACACGGACGTCTACTTTTGGTTTAAAATTGTAGAGGTGAAAACAACAAACATGAAATTGGTGTGCTAATTTTTGTAATCAAATATTTTGAAATCACATATTACACACATGTTTTGAACCTTTGAATAATAATATTTTGATCGAGAGAAATGTAGCACGATTGCACGCCCTGAAGTTTTGCATGACGAAACATGACATAGTGTTGTTCATATTTTTTAGAGTAGACGTTTTCTCCAGCTTCAAAACCGGTACCAACACGGCCGTCCCTCCCAGCTCACGGGAGCTTTCACCAAAAGCGTACCTGGCCAAGTCTCCTATTATGGGAGGATTTTACTCTAAATGGAGTCGCTGAAGCTTGACTCCGACCAATTTTCACCCCATTCGGAGCATTCGTGTCCAAGTATTTGTTTGAATCCTTCCTGAGCGACAAAGGTGTCCTGGCTGATATCAACCCTCCGCTCTCAGACATTGGTCGCAGGCAGAATGCAAGGCGCTGAGCCACATAACAAGGAGGCGGCAGAGTATAAGTGCCCGTTCGCTCAGGAACCGAAAGGATGGCGGGGGGGGGGGGGGGGTCGCTGCCCGCTGGAGACGGTGATATGTGATAGAGCATTGCCTATTCGATTATCCAAACTACCGGGGCTTGGGCTTCGGTTCAGAAAGGCTTGGGACGGTTAGCATGTGGAATGCTAACCGTCAGCCGTTCCTCAAACTCAGGCTGATGTTCGATGAATAAGTAGCATTAGAAAAAATATATCAGAAAGCGGCTTTTTATTGCATGATATAAAACAACTAAGCAGTTTCATCGAACAAAAATTTACACCCACGTCGTCGACAAAATACTGTAGCAAAACACCGGCTATGTAAAAAGCCTCTGCAAGCCAGCCCACTCGTTTCTTCTAATAACTCCGTATGGACCAAAAAGCCCTCCCATTTATCGGGAGTACCTAAACAAAGCACAACGCCAGTAACCCTGTATCACAAATACCACACCGTACAAGTTTCTCCAAAAATAGTCCGTTGCATCCATACAAATACACAAATGAGCATTGGAATGACGTTGGAATGAACAATGTAGCATTACAAATGCACACACAACACTTGCTTATTGCTGCATGAGTCACAATCTACATCGCATGTAGCCGGCAGACTATACTGAAGTGCACAAAAAGTAAATGAGTCCAAAACACGATTACGGGATGCTCACACATTTATCACCGGCATATCATACAGATTACAGAACCACCGTGTTAAGATTTATACTCTAGTATTACAGCAAATATTCAGCTTGTTTCGGGCTTCTCCAAGCATACAAGAATCTCAGGATACCCACGCACTGTCACCACAATAATCCGTAACTACGAAACGAAACCACTGCACAGTTCTGAACTGTTCTGTCAAAGGCATATTACTAATAACAATAAGCGGCAAAAAGCGTCGACAAAATAAATGACCCAAAAATTGGAAAAGATCGAAGTAAAAAATAGAAAACGTAACGAAAGCTTTAGTGGAGGCGAGATTCATTGGCCATCCAACCAATAACACGTACCTTTGGATGCAAATATATGAAACAGATCAATCACTAGCATTAATAAAACGACTGCAGATTAATTTTTTCTGCATGGCGACAATAAACGTAAAAACTTAATCCATCGTGTCTAATTATTCTACCTTATAATGGAATGCAGGCATACATCACTTGGTCGAGGCGAAATAAGCAATGAACCACATGCTAGCATAAGCAGCTGCAGGAAATGTAGCTTGGACCACCTGTTACCACTCAAGCAACTGAGTGCTCGACAAATTACAAAAAGCTAACCACTTCAGATTCGCAGTTTCCATGAGACTGACCTGGTATTTCGCTTAGAAAAACACTTCTTCCACACTAACTTTGCAAACAACACAGCTAATGAGACACGGTAAGTACATGAACGTCAATCGCTAATAAAGTCAACGTTAAATTTTGCATCTCACGGAAGACATCGGTAATATTGGCTGCACATTTTCAGATCATTTTCTTCTCACACAGAACACACATCCAAAGCCTCATTTGTTGAGTCAACAAAAAACTTTCCACATCAGCTGATTGCCGATCATCAGCTGATATTCCATCAGCTGAGCTAGCTCCAATCAGCTGAGTGTCACCTTCCATCAGCTGACTGCGCAATCAGCTGGCGTCCACCATCTCCCACTGAACGTGTTCGCTTTCCTTACACATTTCCATGACCAGTGGTGCCATCTCTCGCCGGTCGGAGGCACCTAGACACATTCCAGCGGCTACATTGTACAGAACTGTGGTCTTCTGTGAATAGAAACGTATCGGTGACGGTTAGAGAGTGAAGTGGGAGGGATACGTCATATAAACGCAGTGGAAGAGACACTGATTTTGTTGAGTTAGGTTACAAAGGACGTCCATATTGCACCAGCCCTCAAAACCTGATGGTGATTTGGTGTTACAGAGCGCACCAGCAATACGAGGCTATATTATTATCACCTCAAACACTCTTGAGCGAGGAAAAAGTATTGGCGTTACATGTGATTGCAGAAATACATGGGCCATTGGATTACAGACTGTGCGACACTGCGACAGGACGTGTCCACTGTCAGTGAACAGCAGGAGCAATAGTTACAGTGAATGAGATTAAAATGAGAATGATCGTACCCATGACAGTAAAATACAAAGTTAGAACTTTTGTCACACCGGTGCAAGAATCATAAATAGAGAAAATGTTACAACCTCAACGCGAAGCGTCGATCACCGTGCTGCTGAAAATGACTTAACTTATTACTTAAGTAATACCATCATATCCGATTCAACTTTAACTATTCGGCACCATCGCACCACGAACCTTCGAGTCGAAATCCCACTGTTGTTCGTTGCCCATCTCGTGGCATTTCTGGATGACGGGTGCCTTTCCGCCGGCATCCAGACAGTAGAGCCTGTTCAGCACCAGCTCCTGACGACTGGTCTCGTGGAACACCTGGGTGGAGAGAGATGTGATGTGCAAAGATCAGTGGGTGAACGTGACGACAAAGCAGTAGGTAACAGCGCTACCTCGAGTTATTACCGAAAGGGTAAGGGTAGGACGCTAGGACGAAAGTGTAAGGGTAAAGGGAGTTAGTAAGACGTATTTGTAAACTACCCTTTTCCACTAATAAAGATGAGTCACATAACATGTGTGGTCAAAATACATATAGACAGGCAACGGCTCTAAATCATGAAATCATTTTCAAACAAGGCCAGAAGCCCTAATAACAAGACAGCCAGCCATAAATCCTGATATAGTATGGCCTGAATCCCATAAAACACTGCTACAGCCTACACTACATCCACTTTTCTATCCTCTCCTGCATATCGACCATCCTATCCAATGGAAAGTATCCATTCCCTGACTCTTTCTCTCTCCCCTATCACCCTTTCCCTCCTCTTCCCCACCATCCCCCTTCTCTCACCTGATCATCATCCTGCGAGCATCTCGCCAGTCTCAGTTTACTGGCGCGCGCCTTATGACCTTTAGCCGCCTCCGCGCACCATATGGACCCCTTCAGTTTCAGTCTGTACGCGCCGACATACTCCCGCTGCCGGTTGTACCAGGGCTTCATCTCCCGTCGGCCGGCGCCGCTAGGAATGATGACACCGTCCGGGTCCTTCAGTTTGGGCAGTTCCAGCTCTGGGTAGACATTTTCCACGTACCTGTAGAACGGAGAAGGGGAAGAACGATATGATTGTGTTGGGCTGGACGTGGTAACATTCAGTGTGGTCTGTCGATTTAACGAACCTTAAATTCATACCTTGCACTGGTTCTTAAAAAAACAAACAAACACACATTTACATGTTATATATCAGCATGCAGATCATGACCTGGCCTGTCATGTGGTTGCATTCATTTGGTCATATTACGGTATGTTAAATGGTCTATGCTTGATTTGCTTACTAATGCCTCCCGAAAATTAATCCGCTGATAAGACCCAGAGTTTATCGAAAGCTTGTAAAAAAAAAAACTTGCCTCCCTTAGCTCCATTGCTTTCCACCCACCATTTGAAGGACTTGCAGCCGAGCCGCTCCCTGAGCGCCCTCCTCTCCGATATATCTCCATAAGACATCCTCCGGGCGTCCTTCCGCGTCTCGAAGAAGTACTCCTTGTACTCGTCTAGCCAGACGTGTACCACTCGCAGAGAGTTTTCTAAGGAGGAGCGGTGACCGGCTGGGGTGTCGTAGGGGCGGCGTTTTCGGAACACGTGACCGATTCGAGAGCAGGGGACGATCTGGAGACGGCCGCCGCACATCCATACCTGGAAACAGGGGAAGACAGGGGTTGAAGGGGTTACACAGGGTTATAGAAGGGTCTGAGAGAGTCAAAAGGGTGCTAGAGAAACCAGCGAGGTCAGAAAGGTCAGAAAGGAAAGGCAGGGTTAAAACGGGCATAGGGGGGGGGGGGGGTCAGAGTGAGGATGGAACGATTAACACGAGGGGTCAAACGGTGCATGTATATTTATATGAAGGCATGACGGTAACGGTAGTCTGGCGACGGTTCATAGAAACCAGAAATGCTCCACCTACCCATCCCCTGACACAACCACTGGCCTGACAATAGACACTGACGCTGATACAGTGACACTGACACTGACACGGTGACACCGACTATGACCTTAACATAAGCCACCGACACCGACAATGACACCAGATTCTAAAAACTCAATACTGGCAAACACTGACATCGTGACATTGACATCGACCCTGACCCTGAAACCGACACTGACACACTGAGACACCCGCATGGCGACACTAACCCTAAAGGACAGCTCGAGGTTTTCTCCGCCCCAGATGTCCATGCCGGGGTCGTACTCCCCCAGCTCGTGGAAATACGACCGGTCCATCGCGAACAGACCGCCAGCCATTGTAGGGGTGCTGAAACACAGAGGGAGCGCGGAGAGCGGCGGTGTCAGTGTCAGAAAAGGTTAATGGAAGACCAGTGCATTGACGGAAGTTGGTACTGTTCTAAAATTTCGTGATGTTTTACTTCATTTTAAGTTTCGCGGCACCTCAAAATTTTCCTTTAGTTCAAAGAGCAAAAACATAAGCAGTTTCAAGTTTCAACGTAACAAGGGAGTTTCATCATACCAATGAATTAACAAGTTCAGTAAAAATTAAAGATAAATAGTGGTTACCCGATTAAGTAAAAGCCAGCTTAACGCCCTTTTATGCTTACAACTGGAGACACTGGCAAAATAATATTTGTTCGCCCTAAAAACGCAGTGAAAAAAAAAACATCCATGCCGCCCAACTTCCCTCGTTCCTTTTCACTGACCCCTCCACACAATCCACTCCACTCCACCCCACTCCACAACCAGGGTTGGCAGGGGGTGGCAAAAACTGGTTTTAGCCAGTGGTTTTAACCGGTTTAAACCGGCTGGCAGAAACCATGGTGGCAAAAACTGGCTAAAACTCTTAGTGACCAAAACTTCGTTTCTTTTCTAAAAAGCAATTGATTAACCCTCGCCCGTATTGGTGTTTTTCCAGCCGCGAACGTATAAGGGGGGGGTCCGTTGGACCCCCCCCCCTTGCCGTTTCGCCCCTGATCGAGCTAGAGCTTCGCGGAAAAAACGAGCGTGTTGCCCGTGACGAGAGGAAGCCGATGATACCCAATTTTAAGGTCCTAGGTCATTGGTTGACCTTGCAGGTCAGGTCAATGACCCCACAGGCGGGAAAATCGGGACCTGTTAGAACGTCGTAAAGTGTGGCTGCTATGGGGTTTTTCGGGGTGCTGATCACGAATATCATGTTAGTTTTGATCACAGATGATGTCTTCATGTATTTAGGCCAGGTCGGGTCAGGTCAGGTCAGGTCAACCAGTAACGGTATTCGTAGCTGGTGGCAACCGCCTCTGACAGCTTCGTAACATGTTACGAAGGCACCAAAACTACTTCGTAAATGTTCATATGGTTGCTAAATTCGAATTCAGCTCCAAAAACTGGCCTAGAAACATGTAAAACTCGAAAAAGTGAACCGAGGTCATCAAAGGTCAATGACCTGACCTGACCTTCAGGTGACCTTGACACCCACCCTAATGCATGGGGGCAACATCATATCACATGTTTGAACGCTTGAAACCACGAAAAGACTGCAAACGCGCGGCTAATGCGAGCCGACATACGCCGAATCGCGATTCCAGCCAAACATGGTCTCGAAAAGTAGGTCACAGGTCAAAGGTCATTTGGGTCAGGGTCATGAAATTTTCAGGGTAGGTGTGAAATTGATGAACGCGAGGGTACTGAAAGTTTCGTCGCGATCGGCCGCTTTTTACGCGAGTTATTCGCGAAAAACCATGGGGGGGGGTCCGTTCGACCCCCCCTATACGGGCGAGGGTTAAAATGTACGAATGAAAAACGAACACGAAAAAGTCTGGATGTCATTGGGACCCACTAAACATTCCGAGCTTTGCCTCATTAGTTTACCGCCGCTTAAAATGTCTGAATGTCGGTAGACGGCTCAAGAACAGCTGTGTCGATTGAACATAAATTTGGTACTGGCACAGTCCGGAACCGGTTAGTAGGGTATCGTGCACCAAGTCAGTAGCAGTTCTGCAGGACCTTCACACTTCTGCAGGACTCACCCTCGCATTCGCTCATTTGTCGACCCAAAAAGGCGTCTTACTGGTTACTAATGGTTACTCATCGTCTCTGGTTACTGGTTACTCATGAAAATATTTTGAAGGGTTTTAGCACTAGAATGGACAGTATATTACCTCTGTTTAAAAGCATATAGCTTTCACTCAATCCCCTTTAAAACGTTTCCTGCTCAAAGGCATGTATACTCAATACTGTATAGGGATGGCGGTATGATTGATTTTAGTTTTTGCCAGTTTTTGCCACTTTATGGCGGTTAAAACCGGTTTAAACCGGCAAATGGCAAAAACTAGTTTTTGCCGGCAAAAATGCCAACCCTGTCCACAACCCACCTTCCCCCTCTCCTCACTCACTCTATCGGACTGACGGCGCCATCTCCCTCCGTGGGTCTTCCTTTGGGCAGGGCCACCCACTGGAAGTGCATGCCCCAGTTGAAGCCTCCGCGCACCAGAGGTGAAGACGAGTAGGCGAACGTGTCGGCGCTGATGATGTCGATGACGGGCACGGTGACGGTGTGACGGTCGGCTGCGATCGGCGCGAGGAGAGGTCGGAGCCAGTCCGTGTTCACCTCGATGTGGGAGTCGAGAAACACCAACACCTGGTGGGGAGGGAAGGGATGAGGTGAGAGAAAATAATAAAATATTGCGTGATAGTCGGTAGTGTTTCCCGGTGTAGTCTCGGAGTAGTCAGAGGCAATTCGGCATTCTTTACGCTCCAAAATGAATTCACGGTGCTGTTAACTCCACTCTCAAACGTGATAAATCAAGAACAAGGTAAGATTAGTGAAAGAAACATCAATACCTAACAATCATTCAACATGAATGCTCTCCGTAGACCGTACTCAAACACATTTAACTCTTTATCGAAGTGGAATCTTACCTTGCCTGTAGCTTGTGCTGCTCCGTGGATCCTGGCCCGCATCAGACCCAGACGTTTCTCCGAGCGAATAATTCGCACCTAGAGCGAAAATCAGACGTGACTGACGATGAAATCAGCGAATTGCCTTCCGTTAAACGAACATTTAAATGGCATACTCACTTTAAAAAAAAAGTTCATTTAATGGCCAAAACATGATGAAACAACTGGTTACTGGTTACAATGAAACCACTATATATTCGGCAAATTCCGTTACAACTGAACTCTAGAAATACCCCAAACGTCACCCACCTTGTTCAAACAAAACTTCTCCACGTGTTTCTCCACGACAGCCGACACATCAGACGTGCTGGCGTCATCGACCAGCAGGACCTCCCTCAGCAGTTCGGGCTGTGACCGGTCCAGAACCGACCACAGAGAGCGGAGCAGGGTCGACTCGGCCTCGTCAAAGAAGCAGATAATGACACTGACGTCCGGCAGGCTGGACACCGGCGGGTACGTCCGGTTGGAGCACCTGTCGAAGGTCAGGGTGGATCGCGAGGATGATGAGACAGGGACTTGAACAACACCATAGTGAAATGAAACTACTTATTTTTTCCCAAAAATATGACCTGAACATGAATGATTCTGATGAGAAATAAAAATTCACATCGATTTTGAAACACGCTCTACAGAACCACTCGCTAACCTATGTTTAGCATTCACAACGCCCACTGATTCTATCCCGTCCTCTGACTCACAGTGCGTTTCTCGTGTCGGGTACCAGTCTCCTCAGCGACAGCCGGTCGCTGACAAGTGTGTTAAACGCGTGCCGTTTGTACCCCTCGGCGCGTCTGCTCTTCTCCTGCTCCGTCTCGACCAGAGCCATGCGCGCCAGGTCAGGCAGCTGTGCCGGGACGGACGGTCCCGTGCCATAGGGTCCGCAGAGCCCGCCCGGCGCCTTGCTGGGGTGATGACTGGTGAGGAAGGACTTCAGCGAGCCGTCCAGGCGGAGGTAGAGGAGCAGGGCCACCAGCCAGGTGACGGAGGAGAGGCAGATACCGAGCAGCAGCCAGCGAAGGTGCGGCACCAGCCGCAGACGCGGGAACTGCATGGTGGGGAGGGGAATGGGGTGGGGTGGGAGGGGATGGAGTCTATGATCTGAAATGGAGAGAAGGTGGACAGTCATATACAGAACCCAGAGTAATAACGAAAGATTGATAATGGAACCTCAGATTAAAGTGTGCAAAAACATAGAGTACATATCATTATCTGCAATGTCAAACCAGAAAAAAAAAAAATTAGAGAATATTCAGCCAACTACCTATATACCAGTCATCTTCATACAAGAAGTCAGCCTATTTGCTTGATTATAGTTTCTGTATAACAGGTTTTCCTTCCTTTAGCTCTGTTTAGGTCGAGTTCTTTCCAGGGCCTCGTCTAAGGAATTTTCACTGGGGGGGCCAGAGACTGAAGGAGCCAAACCTAGGGTACCCCCAAATCCTGTTTTCTCACCGGATTTAGACCACTTATTTTTCATCACAGCCCTGATACCATGAATTTTTTTTTGAAAACTAAAAAAATAGTAGGCCATCCGACCCATGCTTATATACCTATTAGTTTATAGCCCCCTCACATTGCCCCATCAGGCAATAATAATCACACTTCTCGTTGTTGAGCGTGTGATTGAGTGGCAGTGCCTTGTCTAAGGAATTTGCATGCCGAGCCTTATGTCGAGGGCCCACACGCATATGTATTTTTTTGCGAACCACATCGGTTTCAGATGGGCCCCTCTGAGCGCTCGATGCCGATCTCTGAGGGCTAATGCCAACGTCTGGACCTATATTTCGGCCTCTATGGTAGCCCACACTGGTTTTATATGATCCATACCAGGCTTTAATGGTCAATCTGAGTGGAGACCGTATTTTCCCACTAGGGCCCCCTCAGACCAGATGCCTGTGTATCAACTTGGAGACTGATGGCTTCTCAGGTGGATTCTCCGTAATCGCCGTGGATCTTCAACACAACCTTAACCCGCGCACCGACGGGGGTCTGCGCCAACTTAGTACCGACGGGGGGGGGGCGGATGACCGCCCCCCCCTGAGATCTCGAGAACGAAGCAAGATAGCGACAAGCGGTAAACGGCATCGGATACGCACGGACAAGGTCTACAATTTTTACTAAGGTCATTTTCAGGTCAGGTCAAAGATGACGTCACAGGGGTCGAAAAAGTCAAAATGGCGGCGCTAGATATGGAGAGGGTTTTTCTCGAATAACTTTCGAAGTAGTCAAGATAGGAACAAACTAAGGGCATCATCGTGATCCTCTCGTCAATCCGCATCGAATGATATATATGTTGACCTCGAAAGGTCAAGGTCAAAGGTTGACCTCAGGTCACGTGACCTCGAGGTCATCATGTATATCATTCGATGCGTCTTGACGAGCTGAACACAATGAGACCATCCGCGCGGCTGTATCTTGTTCCTGTAAGGAGTTATTGGCAAAAAACCTTTGGTGACCTTTGATGACGTCACATGACCTTACAGCTGCCCAACAGCAAAACAGACCTCAAGGTAGTGAAGGTTGATCGTATGTGAAGTCATGTATGGTATATGGGGCCATTCCGACCCGTTTTAGTGGTAAAAACAGGGAGTTGATTTTTCCCCCATTGACTTATAATGGGGAGGTCGCGAAATTGACCTGACCTTAGGTCACCGACATCAAAATTCCGAGATATACAAATTGTAGCTACTAATGACCTAATAACATCCTGCGACTTTCAAAGGCCTCCGACATCTACTGTAGCTCTGGCACGGTGACAAAGTTGCAAAAAAGTGACTTGAGGTTGGGTCATTCAAAGTGACCTGGTGACCTGACCTTAAAAGTTAGGAGGTTCAAACTTGCACACCATGTGTAAAATTGATGAGAGAATAGTCATACCAAATTTCGCGGCGCTACGCGCCGCGGTTTTCCCGCTATCCGCGAAAAACCTCAGGGGGGGGGGGCGGATATCCGCCCCCCCCCCGTCGGTGCGCGGGTTAAGGTCGTCAGAGGCTATAAACTAAACAAAAATGAAGATTACCCCGTGTAGTAGTGCTTTGAGGCCCGTTGGGACCCTAAGTGGCTGGCATTTGCCCCCCAGGACTCCATGCCGACTTCTTTAGATAATCCAGCTGTCAGAGTTCCCGTCCCCACAGACAGACCACCAATCTGGCATCTGCGCCTGCGTACGACCACCCAGAACGGGAGCCTGCTTCATTACGATTAGGAGCTACTCTAGCCGCACACCGGTGACCGTCCAGCCAGAAGTTGGACGCCGCTAGCGAGGACGACGATAGGCAAAAACAAGAGATTGACGCCCCGAGGGGCGAAGACAGAAACAACAGATTGATACCTAAAGGAGAAATTGTTGCCGGTAGAGTCTTGGACTCCGCGTGGTGAGGGCACGCGTCTCGGTTATAACAGTCCGGGTTCGAAGCGCGACATCGCTCGATCTTTATGACCCTCCTGGCGAGTACATGGTTACCTACGGTTGGTGGCAGGCCGTAGCCATTCGAAGTCAGTGAGGGGACCGGCCGTGTGCGGCTATGTGCATACGTTAAACTTTGGGCTCTAAATTCTGCCATAGATCACGAATTGCGCGATCGGAGAGTAGAGGGCAGGGCCAACGCAAAGCTCTGCTTAGCGGGGGCTCTGTACTTGTGAATCCTTCCATTCAAAAGGTTCGGACTAAATTTATGAAAAAAGAATATCCGGGACACGGAGTTGGGCGCCTGAAAAGACGAAATGTAACGCATTGCTGAGCGAAAAAAAAAGGTTCAGGTAAACAAAATAAACACATAACAGCCCTAGGTAATGAGGTATTTCAATGTGCTCACATTGCATCGTTTCGTTTACGCATTTGTTTTTATGTGCACTGACGCCTCGAAATAAAAATTAGTTTGCCTTTTGGCTATTGCCGGCCCCCCAAGTAGTGACTTTTTGCCCTGACTGGGGGGGCCAGGTCGATGACTGCGGGGGTTTAGCCCCCCCAGTTAACATGTTAGATGAGGCCTTGGTTCTTTCACTGAAAGGTTTATTGAAAAGGACCTGGTTCCACTAAAGATTTAATAGACTTAAGGAAAGGGAACATATCACTTTCCTAAAATTAGCTTTATGCCATCATTTAGGAGAAACTATTTTCCATCTCTTTGGTAGAGGCTTGGTAGAGGCTTGATAGAGTTTACAGCTGGAGCTAATTACACATTGACCAATCATATAATCATAATTACTTAGCTCTGACAAACTGCATGATAATTGGCTGATGATTGGCCTCTGCCAAAGGTGACTGCATTCTTGGCATTCTTCCATAAGGGAAGCATTCCTGTGTAAGAAAATGATTTAAGAAGAAGAAATGGAATATCTTTATTCTTTCCCTGGGGTGATAGTTGGGCCATAAAGGCTCCTGATTTGTGCTTGTCCAGCTCAAGCTACGCCCTACGGAACTGCTACGTCAGTGCAAAACCCCATGCTCAAAGTGGTATATTTCATTTAAAGTAGGTATCTTCAAGCTTTTAGTCTTCTTTATTATGCATATTATCAGAATGGTCTGCTAAATAACAATAAAGAGACATTGTGGCTAGCTAAGTACTATTTAGCCTTTTTGATAGGATCCGCAGACACCTGAACTTTGAGGGCCTATGTTGCACTCTGAACATTGGAATCTTGTTTCTTCAATTCAATAAAAAATAGAATTGTCAAATCAATTTGAAATCAAAATGGGACAACCAATGGAGTCAACCTGGCCCATGCCAATTCCTCTCCTTCAGTTTAGCATGGGGCCCCACGCCCCAGCCTTGTCATCCCTCTATTTCAATTTGCAGACTCAACTTCTCTAGGGCAAATTAAAGACATCACAAAAATATAAGCCCATCCCTTTGGCTTTCTAATCTATATTATAAAATGAAATGGAGCATAAAATTATTTGGATTGTGATTGGCATTGCTGTGCTGCCTGCTTTGCCAGGGTCAGCATCCAATTTGAATGTAAGACTTTACTATTTTTATTTTAACAAAAAACTCGACGATCCTTCTACGCCTTCTACCAATGGAATGGGAAATCAAAATAGGTTCACAATTACTGTATTTATTGAAAAATAAAAGAAAATTACCAATTATACCACTACGACACAATTCGAATATCACAAAGTATTTTGTCTCAAATGCGCAGAAATAACAACCGGCGTTCGTCATTGTTTGTATATTTTGAGGGAGAATAATTAATACAGTATTTCTTTTTTGACGTTAAAATATGCAAACAAAAGTCACTCGATCGATGGATTTGTCCTATTCAAAGTCTCAGCTCTTTTTTAGCCCATCGCCATGAACTTGAATAACATTTTTCAATCATGGTCAAATTAAAAAAGATGACGTCTGCTAACTCAATAACTTTTTAACTGATTCGTAAGTAGCTTACGATTGAACACTGGCCACATCGTGTATGTCTAAATTCTGATATAGGAGGCTGCCGGCAATGGTTTGTCAGCAGCCAATACCAATCCACGCCCCAGTTGCTGTTCGATCGCAGTCGCACTTTCCCTCGCCCCGCACCTCCCCAGCCAGGCAAGGTTTTGCCCGGCACAGCCGCCGCCTTAGTGCCTCGGGCGGTGACCCTTTCAAAGGGGTTCGCAAACCGTCTGGTGATGTGATTCTCAAACCAACGCATAAGTGAGACGTGATCGCTGGGCGTTGGGCGCAGTTGGGCGCATGCGTGCAGTTCGCTAGTACTTTGCGCTGTGTACAATAGTCACCTCGTGTGACCCGGCCTCTGACCGGACGTTATTTTGCTTACGAACGGAGCTACAATAAATTTTGATCACAGAGTCCGTAGATCTATCACAGATCACAGATTATCCGTTCGTAAGTCAACAACACGGTCCGGAGACCGGAACTTTTGCTGTACGGGACACGCCGCCTGCTGCACTCCCGTCTCCGAGGACGGGAGATCAGCTTCACCGAGATCAGCTACACCGAGAACAGCTAAAACGACCAAGACCAGCTGGCAGCTGCATCTTCACCGAGACCAGTTACACCGAAACCAGCGACACGAGGACCCAGCTTCACCGATAATAGCTAAAACGAGACCAGCTACAAGACCCAGCTACAAGACCCAGCTACACGGAGACCCAGCTACATCGAATCGAAACCCAGCTGCATCGAGAACGGCTACACACATGCACATGGGTGTAGGAGCGCCAAAAATATTGGTGAAGGATGCCACCTGAACCTTATGAAAAGGGACAGGACCGTGCCAACCAACACGCACAGTGCAAGCGGGGGGGGGGGGGGGGGCGAATTTCGCCAACCCCTTGTTTTTCGCAGATATCTTACGCCCTTATAATCCCATTAACGTCAAATTTTCAATGCCTGCCTAAAATTGAATTGTGCATCTTGCCATGACAGCAAGATGTAAATCAGGGCCTCGGCTAAGGAATTTTGACTACTGGGGCAAATGGTCAAAGCGTGTTGACCCGCGCCCTGCTGGGAGGGGGGGGGGGAGGTTTTTGAACACCCACCCACCCCCCCTGCGGTTTTTCGCGGATATCTGAAAAACGGCGGCACCTTATCATCTATCAATGTTATACATTTTGTGAAAATTTCAGACCAGGGTCCTTCAAGGTCAGGTCACCAGGTCGCTACAAGTGACCTCACCTCATAAACACATCATAAAATGTTTCAATGTATGCCATAGCTACACCAAGTGACGGATCGCTTTGAAGCTTTCAGCAATTGATAAGTGCAACAGTATGTACAAAATTCGGAATTTTCATATCGGTGACCTAAGGTCAGGTCAATTTTGCGACCTCTCTAGGTATTATAAGTCAATGGGAGAAATTTCAAAACCGTCTTTTTCGGACGAAAGTCATTCTAAACACTCTCAAACACTAAATTACAAGTAACTTTGACACACTGAATATGAAAACGGTACCCGTGACCCCTGTTTATGCCCCTGAGGTCATCTCAGGTCACGAATGGTATCTAACAGTTTTTTGCGACTAACTTTTGAAAGAGGCACGCTAGAGCGATGAAAACGCCTTATATATGTTCAGCTCGACGATACAGATCCACTAATATGCAACATGACAATGTCCGGTCAAATCATGACCTTGACCAGAGGTCAAATTTTTAAGTTGAAATTTCAATGTCAAATTATAGTTCATTCGATGCGTCTTGACAAGAGGAACACGATGTCGGTAAAAGAAAGCTCGTGCAAGCTTGAGTCAAAAGTTATTGCAGAAAAACTGTTCCCGAAAAATCGTCTATTTTGGCAGTTTTTGCCCCCTGCAGGCAAAACCGTTGACGTTAGGTCAAATCTGAGCGAATTACTCAGAAAGGGCGTTAATAGGGCTATCGAATGCGCTTTTCCGTGGCGCTGTAGCTCTATTGGTTCCCGAGCTATGCGTTGGCTTCTTGGAAATTGTCGACATTCGACCTGGAAATCGGCGAAATTTTGCCGTCAATGACCTCTGGTGACCTGACTTTTGACCTGACCAAAAAAGTGACCGAAGTGATTTCGTCATTATTTTTGGCGCTCTTTCGAACGCCGCCTTCCGCGTATCGCTACGTGACCCAGGAGCCGAGTTAGAAGGGGACCCCCCCAGCAGGGCGTGGAAATCCAGGACCCCCAGCCGGGCGCGGGTTAAAAAACAGACATTTGATCAACCGTCGAATCCAGTAGTTCTAAGCATAGGTAGGTGAAGACCCTCCCTTGCATTGTCCAAGATTGGTGAAGGATCCTTCACCAATCTGAAACTTTGGTGAAAGGTATTCTTCACCAAAGAGATACGTTGCTACACCTATGCACATGCATCAGCTGGCAGCTACACCGAGACCTGCCATTTCAACGGAGACCTGCATGGCAGTCCTTAGCAAGTCTCTTTGGCCAGCCTCGTCAGCCTTTTGAACTCGCACCTATATCCAATCACCATTCAGGCGCATGCGCTCATCTCATAACTTCACCAAGCGGTGAAATTGTGCTTGGAAAACTCCTTATTACTACTCCTAAACCATGTCTAAACCATTCCTAAACCATCTCTCACATGTGGACGCCTTAACCCGCGAGTTGCTGGGGGGGGGGGGGGGCGTTAAACGCCCCCACTTTTTTCGCTGGGCCATAGCATAAAAATGGCGCGCCGAAGGCGCGCCAAATTTTGGGTACCTGTAGGGAATTGATTGAAGTTTATTGTGACAAAGTTAAAAAAAATCGGTCGGAAAATTTTTGAGATATCGAGGTTTTAGTGACGTCATGAATTTTGAGTTTTCGACCAAAAACGGCATATGTTCAAAAAATCATATAAAATCACAGAATAGACATACAGACATGCTGTAAACGCCATTAGACTGCCAATACCATGAACAATAAAATGGCTATCTTCGATTATTGATTATCGTTCCGCATTTTCCAAAATCTCGAACTGAATCTCGGCAATTTCTCGTGACTATTTCACGACCATGATACATGCATTTCTTAAATTCAACTTTTTGAGCCAAACACGTACACATATGATAAAATGAATGTCACCATCGTGTTCTACGCCCCAAATTACCCATAAAACATGTGTCACAGGTTGCGAATATCAGTTTTGATTTTCGGGGATATGTGCCTACCCCGGTTGACCTGACCTTGACCCTGACCTATGCTTGACTGACCCGTACATGGAGCTGACACTCTTGTAGGCCTTATATGATGGATTGTGCACCGTTTTGACAGAGTTTATGACGAGAGGCTCCCATTGCGAAGTCCTGAAGTCCATGCTACTGAAAGCCCGATTTAAGGTGTTTGACCTGACCTTGACCCGACCTGTGACCTCAAAATTCAACTTTAAAGTACTCATCTGAAGCGTCTCGTCGCGTTCTTTCGTTTGCCGCCTCGTGCGTTTCGCTGCGCCTATTGGTTCTCGAGTTATCGGCTGGGGGCGTTTAACGCCCCCCCCCCCCCCAGCAAACGGTGGGTGGCGAAATACCCCAGCAACTGCCGGGTTAAGAAATCTAAGGAAAATGAAATAAAAGGTAATTTGATAAGGATCACATTGGCATGGAAAGATGACTTAGCAAAGTTTTAAATCAAGCGTCACTCGGCATCGTAGGAAGCGTCAGGGTGGCCGCTTTGCCCTAAAAGGGCAATGCATTGAGTGTATGTCTGACCGTCTATTATGCTCTCCGAAAGGAATACTCCCGAACTGAAGTATCGTACATAATGTGCCATGGCTCATGACTGTTCCTAGTGTTCATACAGTTTCGGCACCGTGGGCACGTGCACAGAAAAAATATCCGCTGAGTGGGGTTCTGTCGTCCTGATACAGTATCAAATCTACATATTTGCCTTGGAGTAGATATTTGCCCTCTTTTGGAGTTTTATCCATAGCTCCCCACGGGTTAACTCGATGACAGGTTTCCGTGTATGTAGGTATTACATACTATTTTCGATAACACCAGGTAAAGCGCCGATTCAAGTTTATCGATTATATTGGTTTCATTCATGCTCTCACACAATGAGTGAATGCGCGATTATAGCGCAAAAAGCAAGCAGTCAAGAACAAAGAGAACGACGAAAACTAAATTTATTTTTGCTTCCGAAGCTCGCCCTAACTCGCGCAACTTGCGCTGGTGATAATAAAAAGCAGACAACAAATTGGTCGATAAAGTCGATGACATGACATGACCAAAACTGATACAAATTAGGTACAACAGCATTAATATAATCCGTGAATGTCCTTGCAAGTTGAATGATTTAACATGAGCGTAGTTAGTTTAATAGCGAACTGAATTTTCGTCGATGCTGGTCGGGAAACCCCCTTCGCCTGTTGGGAGAACCATTGGTAGGCATCTGAAAACAGAAAACGGACTTCAACTAAATTGGCAAATCAACGGGTTTCGTTCTTGATGCGTGACGGCACTGAACTATTAAAAATGGCATAACCTTGCTTGGAATACAAGATCACAAGGAAACAAAACAATACACACACAGCCAAGCGTATAATCTAAGCAAATCTTCGCCATCACCCAACATTTCCAAGGCGTCACTGTCGTCCTTCCTGCCCTACACCCACCCACATCCCTGCTCTAGGCACGTGCCGTAGCCCCCAGTATACCTGCAGAAGTCGTCGCTCCAGCCCAGTCCCGTGCTGCACTCTCCGCGCGAGGCGCACACGCAGCGGCACAGTCGGTTGTCCCAGCGCCGGTCGGCGTCGCAGCCGCGCCGGTACTCGGCGGTCTTCTTACACCGGCACAGGCACAGGTCCGAGTGGAACTCCTGGGAGTGAGTGAGAGGGGAGAGAAGGGGGGTGAGAGACTGAGAGTGGTGAGTTTACACGAAAAGGGGGCACGTGAGCCACGCAAAAGATGTGCCGTGGTGGGATATTCCTAATGCCATGTGATCGACGATTGCCCTGCAGCGAAATAGTCAAATTGCCGAACTGTTACCAGTGGTGTCACCCCTATCATGATTCATCTATCTTTCCGTGCCCCCCTTACTCTGTCTCTTTGTGTCTCTTCTGCGAGGCACACACTCTCTTCTCGTATTCACCCGTCCATGTATCCCAGTATTTCCCTCTTCTCTGTTTCTCAACGTGTCCTCTGCCATCATGTCTGTATGCTGTTGCGTCTGTGTCTCTGTCTATGTTTCTATTTATTTGTCTCAGACCACGTCTCTGTGTCTCTATGCATCTGTCTCTGTCAGTGTATATGTCTGAACGTCTCTGTGTCCGTCTGCGTCTCTCTGTCCGCATGGACCGTGTGTTTCTGTCTCTCTGTCTTTCTATGCTTTTGACTCAATGTCTCAGCTTTTATATGTTTATATGTGTCTGTACCTATCTCTATTTAATGTCTCTCTGTGTCTCTGTCTCTGTATCTACGTCTCTGCCTCCGCTATGTATCTGTCTCTCTCTGTCTCTGCACCTCACCTGTCTTTCCGTGCAGTCGGCGGCGGTCAGCGGACACCCACAACTGCATTTGACGTCCTCCTCAACTTTAACCGCTCCGCACTGCATACGGTGGTTGACCGCGTCAAAATGAAACAGCTGCGACGGGGCAGGGCGGAGTCAGATGGTTGTTAGATGAAGTTGAGACACGGTACGAATGGACTGTATGTTTTATAGGGAATCTTACCAGCTGAGCTGACCTTGTTCAAAACAAATCACAAGCAGCTGTGTAGAAAAAGAAAGGTAACTAATGCATTTTTTTGCAACCTTCTCATATTTCACTGCTGGTGATGTTGCTATTGTATGGTGTTCATATAATAAAAACAGCAACAAGGTAAAAATTAAAATACCTTATCATATTTACCCATCGAATTACAATAGGTATAACTTATCGAGGTAAAAATATATCTATCTCAATGCGGGAGGAAATACACAAACGACAAGCCTACACGGCCATACTGCAGTCACGGGTAACTATACTCACCGTGACTTCCTTCGTCCGGGTGCTGGTGGCCATACACGAGTGGCCCATGGTGGAGCACCATCCGCTGCACCGCGCTACCACTGCCATCGAGGGCATTATCTGTGAGAATAAAGAACAAACAAACAACAAACATGGCGGCAGACATGGCGGCTCACAGTGACAAGCACGAAGCAATAGCATGACACATAAGAGCTTATTTAAATATATTCCATCTCTATGGCACGACAAACAGGACAACAGGATTCACAATTATCAGACGACTCATAAAACGTAGTAATCGCAGTTTACAAACATGACAAATTAACAATTATGAAAAACATTGCAAAAAACACTATTTAACAATTACAACAGACATAACAAGCGTAACTTAACCCGGCAGTTGCTGGGGTATTTCGCCACCCACCGTTTGCTGGGGGGGGGGGGGCGTTAAACGCCCCCAGCCGATAACTCGAGAACCAATAGGCGCAGCGAAACGCACGAGGCGGCAAACGAAAGAACGCGACGAGACGCTTCAGATGAGTACTTTAAAGTTGAATTTTGAGGTCACAGGTCGGGTCAAGGTCAGGTCAAACACCTGAAATCGGGCTTTCAGTAACATGGACTTCAGGACTTGGCAATGGGCGCCTCTCGTCATAAACTCTGTCAAAACGGTGCACAATCCATCATATAGTAAGGCCTACAAGAGTGTCAGCTCCAAGTAAGGGTCAGTCAAGCATAGGTCAGGGTCAAGGTCAGGTCAGCCGGGTAGGCACATATCCCCGAAAATCAAAACTGATATTCGCAGCCTGTGACACGTGTTATGGGTAATTTGGAGCGTAGAAAACGATGGTGACATTCATTTTATCATCTGTGTGCGTGTTTGGCTCAAAAAGTTCAATTTAAGAAATGCATGTATCATGGTCGTGAAGTAGGTAGTCACGAGAAATTGCCAAGATTCAGTTCAAGATTTTGGAAAATGCGGAACGATAATCAATAATCGAAGATAGCCATTTGATTGTTCATGGTATTGGCAGTTTAATGGCGTTTACAGCATGTCTGTATGTCTATTCTGTGATTTTATATCATTTTTTGAACATATGCCGTTTTTGGTCGAAAACTCAGAAATCATGACGTCACTAAAACCTCGATATCTAAAAAAATTTCCGACCGATTTTTTGAAACTTTGTCACAATAAACTTCAATCAATTCCCTACAGGTACCCAAAATTTGGCGCGCCTGCGGCGCGCCGTTTTTATGCTATGGTCCGGCGAAAAAAGTGGGGGCGTTAAACCCCCCAGCAACTCGCGGGTTAACAAATACGTCTCCAAAATATTGAAGCATAAACAAAGATAATTAACATAAACAATGAACATGACAACCATGATGACTAACGGATAAACAAACACAAATCACAAACATGTTATAGGTACGAGTAAACGATGTTCAATCATCAATGGACAATCATGGCTGAAATGAGTGAGAACTTTTACGCTGTGTATCACCGGAGCAGTAGGTACCATGTTGGTTGTGTCAGCGTTGTGAAGGGACACCACCGTCTCACGTGGCCGGCAGGCACACCGCAGAAGGTGCTCTTGCCACGCGATATGGTCCGCCCCATTACACGTGCCTGAAAGGTGAGAATGAAATGGTGAGAGAACTCGATAGCTGGGGAGCGGAGAGAACTCTGAACACACGAGTCACAAGTGTGAAGAATCAGACATGATTGGAAATATTCGAGCGAAAATGACGGCACTACTTTGGGATGTTGTTATTCTCGTCATCTTCGCTGGAATATGTATATCCAAACTTGTGACAAGCATTATGCAGCCATTGAGCCAAATGCAGACTCAGTTACAAGAAAAGTACAAGTGCCCCTACGGTATGTGTCAATCTTAACTGCGTACTTAGCGCAATATAACCTTATTCAGTCCCCTTACTGCTGGAACGAGGGGGATGCCCCAGGCCCTTACTCTACCTATAGTTACTCTACCTATACCTATACTCTACCTCTACCTTACTGTACCTATATTTAGCTCTTTTTGATACCAGAGTCTTTGCTTCTGAGACAGTTAAATAAATACCGGATGTGACTCGACATGTATCAATGACCGGATGTGATTTTTTTCCCGTGGCGTATCAAAAGTTCCAGTTCCACTCACCAGGCGTATCCAGCGTATGATTTGTGGTCATTCCTCCCTCGCAGGTGTCCCCTCCTCGTCTAGCGGCGGCTTCCATCGCCTCTCTGCGATCTTCCGGTGGCATCTCAGCCATTGTCCTCATGACGTTTACCATATCCTGAGCCATGGCCTGCCCGTGTTGAGAGGTCACCAGGGCGGCGCTCACCACAAACACGGCACAAAGGGCGCGGAACGATACCACAGAGGTCACCGGTCGCGTCAAGGACCGAAACAAAGACATGGTGTAAGATATTGAGGAGTTGAGACTGAGATGTTACTCAAGTGAGACTCAGCAGAAGACTGGTAGGGATTGTTTGGGTGAGACTCCGCAGCAGATCGAAGGATTACAGCCGTTTCCAGTCCAGCGCGGCTGGGGAAATTCAGGATGGCCGTGAGGCTTATCTGGCGTATGTTTATGATATGATTGGTGATGCAAATTATTCGTGAGGGAAGCAAGCATGTCTGAAGTTGTATTTGGCATTTAGCGCATGGCTGATACTGTTCACATAATAGAGCTTGGTGCGAAAGTCGGCTAATTCGTTGCTCGGATCGATTCTTGGCAGAAAAGTAACGCAAAGACGGTGGTAGAGTTAAAAATTCAGCGATGCTAATGCTCTTTTTGTAAGATCATGCATCTATATTCCGGTTTCTATGTTTCAGCTTGCGTCTTTATAGGGCTGTTGATAACTTTTATATCGTATATTGATTACAGATCAGCGTGTTTCCCAAACAGATGTCAATTTTCCTGGGTTCCGTAGTCGTACTCAAGTGCACTTGAGTGGGCTTTACCAAAAGACAGACTCAAGGCTTTGTCGGGTTCCTCTGCACTTCCTCTCATCTGTAGGGGAGAGCGGGGAGAGTTGTATCATGTCCAAGTTGTATCAGGGCTAATTGTGTCAAACTTATCCAATGGATGGCGCTCGTGACACGACCAGCCGACGAGGTTTTCCGGGTGCCATCTTTCCCTGTTCTGTCGTGTAGCTGGGTGGACGCGTCTCGAGGTGAGAGCCGATTTTATGTTTTTTTAATGTCATTCTAAAAAAATAAGCTGCAAGAAAATGTGTGTTTTGGGCATTTAGATGTGCACGAATTTGAAAGATCTCCGTAGCGGTGGTGAGGGTAGGTTCTAAGGCTGCGTGAGTGAAAATGGATTTCTCCAGCTTTCCGCTGTTTTTGAGCACGAGGATGTTTTTTCCAAGATGGCGGCGAGGTACATGTTGTATCAGAGCCGGGTGGGGTATGTTGTAACATGTATGTATGTATGTATGTATGGGTATGTTGCTTTTGATCGCGAAAGCTAAGCCCTGGCTCGCGTTTGTAGGTAGCTAGTCAATACTCGTTCCATTTCGGCACAATGTGTTGGCTTCTTTGCTCTTAACGGGCCACTTTTGCGTCTAGTCTGTTGATGTTTCGTTCGTTTCGATGTTTCGTTCGGATTGACCTAAGTTTGGTCTAATAAAAGTGAAGCCTTTGAGCATATACATTGTATTAACCCCATTTAATGTTATTGTTATGTTCAAAACCAGTAACAAGCACACTCCCTGAAACGTTAAATAGTGATACAAATTACCCCACTATGTGATACAACTCACCCAAGCCATGGGGCAAGTTGTATCAAAAACATTGTTCTATTCGGCAGACCGTAGAAGAAAAACTGGTAGAGGTAGCGGAAAAGTTACTTTGCACAAAAAAGCAGAAGAATCAAGGAAGGAGATAGTATGGAAAAAATGAGTTTATCACGGATAGTTACGAGGTTATGGGTCTCGGAGTAAAAACTGATACAACCCACCCCACTCTCCCCTATCATTATGGATGTTTCAAAACACGCTGGTGCACTGTTGAGTTCAAAGACAATCCGGTAGTGTAGGGGAAGCCGGGGGAAGCCCGGCATAGTAAGCTCTTTTTCATTTTTATTACATACCATACGTGCTGTATAAAATGTTGATATCCTGCTAGCTAGCTAAGTTCATTGGCCGTGTTTTCCCAAAAATTCGGTTTCGTGGAATAAGTATAAGGTTGAGAAAATCGAGTTTTAAAAAAGTGTTGATTTTTCTGGGGTAAGCCCGGCATAGGGGTAACGCCGGCCACCTCCCTAGCGCTTTACAACGAGTTGATGAAACCATTATGTGTTTTCCAAATATTAACGGAAAGTGAAATATTAAGGTACTGATTAGCTCTGGACATCTTAGAGTTTATGTCACTACTGGTATTTTAGCTAGCGTCTACTACATATACAGTACAGGTCGATGAAAATCGTGATGCAAAATTGACAAAAAATGTGTATTTCAAAATTCCTTAAAATTTATTTTTCTTTTTACCTTATATGCATCATACTGCGTATCATTCGACTCGGTTGATGAAGAAGAACACAACGACACCATTTTTGAAGCTCTAGCTTCATTGTCTGTCGCGTTATCTGCAAAAACGTAGTTTGACCCTAGTTGACCTTAAGTGACATGACTGGCTTTGTCTATGATAACATATTTATTTTCGAAATTTATCTTTGATCTAGGTGTAAACCAAACCTGCTCAGTACCTATCATCTCATGGAAAACAGTGGTTTAGTGGCATTGCTCTCGGTTGGGGGTAAGCTTGGCCACTCGCCCGGGGTTACCCCAATGAGCTAATTTTTATTTTAGAACAGCGATATTCGAAAAAAAAATGTCATACTTTAGCCAGCCTGCCTCGTCACCCCTCACTACAAACACTTAAACGGTCCTTACATAACATTCGTATAAATATTAGTACTGTATGGTATAACGTTAACAGTGCAAGATATCTCACTTTTTAGCTAAAAACCCTTAAAATATCATTTTTGCGCTATAACTTTAACAATATGCAATTTTTGTCAGCCTTAACTTTTTTGCTGGCGTTACCTTAGCTGCCACGCTGAAAGGACAAACAGTTGAGCATTTTATTGTGAATAATTTAGCCGGAAACGGCGTGGCCGGGCTTCCCCCGCGCCCGGGCTTCCCCCGGCTTCCCCTAAATAATCCTAAATGTTTATATGACAGATAACATGCGGTTATCTGTCGGTCTAAAGTCTGATGGAAACTAAAAATTGCACAGACATTGCCGCTTCAAAACAATACAATTGCGCATCCCTCGAATACTATTACTTAGGTATGTCAGTATGTGTGCATTTAGTGCAATCGAGCGACTTTCAAGAACGTCAAAAAGTAAGGAAGCTATATTGCTACTTGAGGGGAGATGCCGAACTGAGAGCATGATATGAAAGCCAATGGACATCACCCTTATTGCGTAATTTCACACACTTGTAGCGTCGGTAGGTACCTACTGCGTGGCTTGTCTGTTTATGCGTTCTACACGTTCAGCATATCGAACTAAAATTCATCATGTGGTTATATAATCAAATATATTTTCCTTATAGGTACGTCATCGAGTACCTACCTGCGTGGTTCCAATGAAGCCATTGAATACAAAACTGCCAACCGCACTAAACACGCACCAACATTACCTTAACGCTTTACCTACCGGCACGTACACGGTTATGAATGCAGCAATATGCGTGCTGAAAAGAGTGATCAGCATTGCACTGAGTAGGTACCAAAACGACACACCTTCTTTTGAGAATATCAACAGATCGATATCGCATACGCATGTCGTGTTACGCAGGGCGATGATCATCCTTCATCAATAGTTGATCCCTGGTGTATCCGACGTCAATAGGACGCCACTGCAGGGTGGACATTAAAAATTTGTAATTAATGCATTCCTCGACCACCGCGGACGCAAAGACGGCAGCGCTTGCAATGAAATACGTCAGTACTGTGGTCATTCATCACTGCGGGCGTTTCATATGCTGGATTAGCTCTGGCGGGTGACCTGATTAGATCGGATTCATGTGTCGTTACGTGGGAGCATGATACTTACGTTTTGGGTAAAAAGGGCACCCATGGTTCTTATAAGTGACAAAATATGCGTTTCGAGAATGGTTTCATTTGATCGTGGTGAACATTGACGTTTCTATCCCAACTTTACAGGCATATCCACTTATAATAATTTAACGAAAGATGGAGGCAGGAAGTCATGCCCACAATACCCGCTCCTTATGGTAGTTCTCTTGTCATTCAGTGCGATTGCACTGGGTAAAAGCACACATCATGCTATAGGCAACCACACCCTCATATTTGCCAGCCATACGAGTTCTGTGCAGCGACTCATGCCAAAGTACTTCACTTGGTCAAAAGACACCTACACCAACTTCAATACTAGGACCTAAACCATGTCTATGAAACCTTAACTGGCCACGATTGCTAGGAATGGGAATGCCTGCAAGACAAGCATATTATCCTACTTATGCGTGTGCATTGTAAGCATATGTCAATTAAGGAGGCATGCAGCTCGCTGACTTTAATGGAAAGCAAGCACATCCACAATGGAAAAGGAAATAATCCGTCGCTTATTCAAAGAACGTTGTATAAAGACATAGTTTATTGATTAATGAGAAAAGCTCCTAAAAGCAGTCGAAGTTCAAACATTGCTCGACTTACAAGCGATGATGTCAACTTTCGTGCGGCTATGCAATTATGCATCATCCAGACTCCAGCCTATTCCGTTTTGACAAAGGTGCACGCAGAACGGTCCGGACCAGGGGTCAGCGGAGCCGGAGCCGGAGCTGGAGCCGGAGCCGCCGGAGCCGGCATATTTTGCGCGGAGCCGGAGCCGGAGCCGTCAAAAAACGGGGCGACTCCGGCTCCTGTTTTTTTTTTTTTTTTGAAGAGGAAAAATGATTGACCTAGTTCGGTTTGACAGTACAAGGCAGTGACAAGTACATGTGGTGTTCAAAATAGCCTAGTTTTATGCAAATACAGAAGCAACGTGTACCTACCAATCCCATCGTCTTTTTTGTTCCACCCGTATTTAGTTGCATAGGACCCATAGGGGATGCATATGGGATGTACTGAGTAGGTACTGGAGCTGGAGCCGGGGCCAGAGCCGAAGCCGGAGCCGGAGCCGCCGGAGCCGCTGGAGCCGGACCATTTTACTCGGAGCCGGAGCCGGAGCTGGAGCCGTCTGAAATTTCCACGGCTCCGCATCCCTGGTCCGGACGGTCCTGCATACTGCTACGGGTGGTGATCAGAACGGTCCTATCTATCCGACCTCTATCACGTGAC